ACAATTTTGTAAAATAAAAATAGAAAAAGGTTGGTTAGTGTTGGGGGGGGGGGGGGGGGGGAATTTTGTTAAAAATAGAATAGAATTTTTAGAAATATTTTTTTTAATCAAGGATACCTATTTTTAATTTTAATTATTTCTATTTTCATAATTCTAATATGCACAAGATCTACAAAATACAAACAAGAAGTTCTGATTGCGTATTTAGACATATCGGGATTGCGATGACAAGAATAACTTCTTGCGTACACTCTGTTAATTAATTATACGCACTCTATTTTTTTGGGGTTTTTAAACTGAAGAATGTGGATTTGTAGTTTTATGTATCTGCACTTAAAAAGCCATCGATTGTCATGAAATTCTTAAATTTAAGAATTTCCTTCTCAGACTTAAGAACATTTTTACCAATAATTAATACACCCCCCCCCCTCTAAAATGTTTATTTATCAATCGAAAAATCAACAAAAATTTATCTGAACTTATCTATCAATGGGAAATACAAAAGAAATGAAGTTATAACGGTTTCTCCATCTAGATATCAAAACTCGAAAATAAAAAAAAATCAGGGTAAATGTCTTTAAAATATATTTTCGACCCCTTACAGACTGTTTTAAATTTTTATTTATACTTTTCTGGAAGCCTTTCAAATTTGCTTTAAATTGATCCTAAAACTTAGAAGCTCGTTTCTTCAAATAGGACAATCTCAAGACCCAGTGATCGTAGGAAGTGAGACCAGTAGAAAACAATAACCCTTCCTGTTGGTTAAAAGTTCCCTCAAAATATATCGAAAAATACTATAATAATATTAATAAAATAAAAAGAAAAATTTCAATTTAAAAATTAATTTTTCCAAATAAAAATTTTAATAAAAATATTTTTAATTTAATTTGAAAAAAATTAAATTTTATTCAAAATTCTTCTCTCATTGGCTGCTTCTTTCCCTTTTCTTTTATTTAATCCCGCCCTTTTTTATCAATCAATTGTCTACACTTCTTTTTAGTTTTTTCTTTTCCATTTTTCTCTATTCTTTTCTTATTTTCATTGTTGTCAGGATTTTTAAATACTTATATAAAAAACCCACACTTGTCCCTATTTTTGTGGGTAAAATCCTTTTTAAAAATTCCGCCGGCCGAAGGCCGGCGGCTGGAATTTTTTGAGTGATACATTTGTCCTACAACTTTTTGCGCTCTATTCAGGAAAACTCTTACCTCGGCGCTGAAACGTCGTTTTCGCACTGAAACGGCCATGGGTGGTTTTTCAAATGGAAATAGCGAGGAGGGGTGAAGTGTGATCAAAAAGTGCTTGCTGGGAGGAACCTAAGTTGGGATGGGTACTATATCGTATGAAAAATTTGGGGGGCCTGGGATTAACGCCTGAGGCTGTGGCCTTGGCTAAAAATTGCACATCTATTCCCAAAATGACACATGGTGTCCGACGAAAATCACCGACTATTTTCAAACTATATGCCATTCGATAGAGCTCCATGAGTAGGTTCTGGGAAAATTTAGTTTAAATTTTTCTGACCATTTTGGGCAAAGTTAAAGAACGCCAAAGGTCCAAAATGTCCAAAACACCTAACGTGAAGGGTGGCTCCCATTGAATGTAATTATAAAATTGCTTAAGAGAGGGCAAATGGTTTCAACTCTTTTTTATTATGTTAGGGCATTGAGTGTACTACAATTTTGTTGGGGGACACTTGAGTCTGAGATTTTTTCCTGACATAGTTATTGGCACCAAAGTGACCTCGCCGAAACCGACTTTTTAACGCGTGAATTGAAACTCGATTTGAGTATCCTATCTTGTAGAGCGTCCCTTGAAACCTCTAAAAATATATACTTTGTTGGCGGTACAATTGAGTCTGGGAAAGTTATAGGGCTAAAAGTGGCATTTTTGTGGCAAAAAGTGGTCGGTTTTTTGCGTATAACTTTTTTTAAAAAATTTTTAAAAATAAATGGACTTTAGATTCGTGTTCAGAACCTATTGGAGCACCATATAACATATTTTTCTCGAGGTCGAATTTTTGACCCATTTTGAAGAGGTACCCCTTTTGAAATTTTTTGGTGAAATTTAAATTGGGCATAACTTTGTAAGTTTTTGTCGTAGCCAAACGAATTAAAGCTTATAAAATAGAGCAAAAAATTACAAATTTTTTGAGCTATTTAAATTTTTTAAAAATTTCACCCGAGGCTTGGTAGGATCGATTTTTTGAAAATTCAAAAATTTTCGGTTTTTTAAAATTTTTAGGAGTATATCGAGGCTGAGGGTGGTTGAATATATTTTTATAAAATAGAGCAGAATTTTTACTATATATTTAGCTTTTAAAATGTATTGAAAAGGTTTATATTTAGGGAGTTATGAATTTTTGAAAAATGTCGCAAATTTTTCAATCGAAATTTTTGGCCAAAAATTTATTTTTTCCAAAATGACTTAAAATAGGACAAATTTTATATCGATCGAAAGCCCTTCTCGAGCTGAGTATAAAAATATTTTTTGTAAATTTTTTTGACCATTTTGTACAAAGTTACAAAAGGTCGAAATTTCGGGTGTGGGGGTTTGGGGGCCGAAGGCCCCCAAACGGCGGGCAGGAGGCCCGCCGTGCGAGGGCCGAAGGCCCAAGCTTAAGATCCATCTCAAAACGAATCGCGAGGGCCGAAGGCCCGAGCGTAAGATACAACCCAAAACGAATCGCGAGGGCCGAAGGCCCGAGCTTAAGACCCATCCCAAAACGAATTGCGAGGGCCGAAGACCCGAGCTTAAGACCCATTTTAAAACGAATCGCGAGGGCCGAAGGCCCGAGCTTAAGACCCATTTTAAAACGAATCGCGAGGGCCGAAGGCCCGAGCTTAAGACCCATCCCAAAACGAATTGCGAGGGCCGAAGGCCCGAAGCGATGAAAAGGCAGGGCTAAACTTTACTGCGAGGGCCGAAGGCCCGAGCTTAAGATCCATCCCAAAATGAATCGCGAGGGCCGGAGGCCCGAGCTTAAGACCCATTTTAAAACGAATCGCGAGGGCCGAAGGTCCGAGCTTGAGACCCATCCCAAAACGAATTGCGAGGGCCGAAGGCCCGAAGCGATGAAAAGGCAGGGCTAAACTTTACTGCGAGGGCCGAAGGCCCGAGCTTAAGATCCATCCCAAAATGAATCGCGAGGGCCGGAGGCCCGAGCTTAAGACCCATCCTAAAGGTAATCGCGAGGGCCGAAGGCCCGAGCTTAAGACCCATTCTAAAACGAATTGCGAGGGCCGTGAATTATGTTTAAACGCGAGATTTCCAAGGCTTTTTATTTAATATAGCAGAAAAAACCTTCTAGCAGCGCGCGAAGCGCGCCCGAAAGCCGTTAGGCTTTCGGCAGGGCAGAGCAAATTCAAACAAAAAGTATCGTAACTAAACCTATTGCATACGTAACTTACCGCCATACCCCAATGGGCACAACTAGTTATTTTTTTATAAATATTTTTTTATTTATTCCAATAAGATTTTCGAAATCAAAAAAAATTTTTAAAACAAAAATTCCGAACAAATTTTTTCTGAATTACCGATAATAAAGAAAATTTAAATTTTAAAAAATTTTCTTTAAAATGATTATTTAAGTATATTTTTGTTTAAAAATATTTGGATTTTACTGGTTATTTAGTTTAGGGGATTTCTTTCCTAATCCTGTCTCTTATCCGAATCTTTATATTTGGTACATAAATCCTGATCAAACCCCTCTTCTTTCTTCAAAAAATATTCTAGATTGATATTACCCCAAGAAAACCTCAAACTCTCTTTTGGCATATCCAAAGTCGTTCAATGCTTAATTTGATTAAGAGATGCCTGTTATGATACGTTTTTCGGGAGAAATTTTCCCTATGAGTTAACTTCATTAAATAAAAATATATTTTGTAAATTTCCATCAACAAAAATCTCAAATTTTTTAGCCAAAAATAAATATTTTATTAATTGATTGTTCAGATTAAATATTTAATTTTAATTACTAATTAATATTTCAGAACAATAAATATTTATTTCTCATTATTTTTATTTTCTTTTTACATTTTATATATTACTCGATTGTCCAGGGACACGCCCAAGTAGGCGCGCGGCCAAGTAGGCGCAAAGCCATAACTACCTGAAAAATTTATGGACCTTAACAATTTTGGTACCATTCTCTTTAGCTCAATGAGAGGAATCGTTTAATACCAAATTTGGTAAGAATCGGAAATTTTGAAGCAAGTTATGACTTTGCGTCTACTTGGCCGTGCGCCTACTTGGGCCGTACCCGATTGTCCATAACCAGTTGATTAACACCATTAATGTTTGGGAGACTTTTAAAAATACTTTCGAAAACTATCGGAGTTTTTAAACTTTTAATCAATTAATTAATTTTTGGCAAAATAAATAAATATATTTTCTGTTTGTATAATTGGTTCTGAATTAATTTTTATATATTTTTCATTAATTTAGAAAACTTTTCTTTTCTAGGACCGGTGGTCGAGTTTTATTGAATAGAAACTCGAATAATTCTATCTCCTAATTGATTGTCTTTAATTTAAATATTAAATAAATATATTCGATTTGATTAAAACCAACTTTTATTTACATTTATGAATAAACGTGAATTTGAATATAAAAATAATTGTATGTAGTAAAAGAAAAATGTACCTTTTCTTTAGAAAAATGTATCGAAATATAATAAATAATAATCAACAACAACAACAAGATTCATTACCAACAAATATTTATTGGCCAACAAATAATAATGATAACCAAAAAATAATTGAAGGGGTAGGGGGAGGGAATAATAATAATTTTTATCAACCACCAAACAATAATTGTTTATATTCCTCCTCCTCTAATAACACAACAATTAATTCTTCTTTACAACAACCATCTCCCAATAATGAGTACATGAAAAGTGTTTTGGCTGCTGCACAATGGGCTGAAGCTAATCAAGCGGCGGCAGCGGCGGCTGGGTATATTTAAATTTTGAATTTTGAGGAAAGTTTGGGGTTAAATAAGTAAGAGGGAATGGGGAAAGTGATTGTCCCTGGCAAGCATGGGGACTAGGCCAAAATGGCCAGACTCGGACCGAAAGATCGAATTGGGCTTAAGATATTTGGCCCGAAAGTAAAAAAGTACCAGCCCGAGTCGATAAAAACAAGCCCGAAAAAATTTCCTCGACCGTCGGCCCGACTTGAAACTGCAACCGTAGTTGTGACCTTCTAGGAGTTATTTCTAGGCTGTTTCGTATAGGTGCTCTACCGACTGAGCTATTCAATATTTTACTCCAATTGTAAATTAAATTTACAAAAATTCTCACAATTTCTCCAAAAATTAATTATTTAATCCGAACAAATTAAAATTTCTTTTGTTTTAACGCCCTCTCTTTTTATTTCAAGTTTTTATGGTTCCCAAACATCAATGGCCGCTGCAGCAGTTGTGGCAGCAGCATCAGTTTCAGCAATCCCTTCATGTTCTGCATCCTCTACAGTTTCCTCTTCTTCACATTTTTTGGATAATTCTTCCTCTCTTTTATTAAATAACTCTTCTTCTTCTCCTCCTCCTTCAACAACCACAAAATCTTTAAATGTTCAAACATTTCCGTGGATGAAAATGAATGGTAAATATAAAATAAAATTAAAATACACCAAAATAATGAGTAAATTGGCATAGGTTTGTCGATTCCAGAAACCGAATAGAACCCCCGAAAATTTTCCTTTCGATTTGTTGATTTTTTTCGATTTGTTATCTATTAACCGAAGAAGTTTTTTTCCTTACGGGAAACATCAACAAACATCAATTATCAAGGAAAATAGCTCATTTCGAGCCAGTCCAAAGAAATAAGGAAAAATATGATTCCGGCACTCCTTTAAGATGGATTTGAAATTTCAAATTAAGCAACACACCTCCACTTCCCTCTCTCTATTTTCCACCCTTTCATTAAATAATTATTCAAAATTTATTTATCCCTTCTAATGGCTACCGTAATTTATTTTTAAAATTTAATCTCATCAATTTTTCTCCAATTCAATGTTGCATTGAATAATTAATTAATTTTTTATTTTATTCTTCCCTCGGGCTAAAAGATTATTTATATCTTTATTTTTAAACGAGTTTTAAATTATTTTTTTCAAAATTATTTACTAATTATTTTAAAAATATTTTTTAACTTATTAAAAATATTTTTTCAAAAAATTTAAAAATAATTCTGGATTTCTTTTTTTGGATTTAAAAAGCTAATTAATAAGTTAATTAAAACATTAACTACATATATCCATAATCTTTAAACTTTCCATCTTTTTTTCGTAAGATTACCTAATATTTTGCCACTGTTACAAACTCCTTTTTTAAATTCCCAATTTAAAATCCCCTCGCCTTTCTATTATTTTTTAATTTAATTTTCATAACTTTTAATAACCCTAAAACTCAAAATAAATTAAAAAAAAACTTTTTAATATAGATAGAAAGTTCTTATATTAAAACTTTTTTTGGCTAAAAATCCAATTAAATAATTAATTTTACTCAATTTTTTGTAACAAATAATCAAAGGATTTACAGAAAAAAAAATTTCTTTCTTTTTCTTTGGCCAAAAATTGTTTTTCTTTTTGGTGTGACAATTAAAATGAAATAAAAAGGATTTAAATGAAAGTGAGAGAGGAAAGGCGGCATTTATTTCTTTTTTGTTATTTTTTCGCGCGAATGTTTTTGTTAAGCCTTTTAAGGTTGTAAAAAGTTGTAAATCAAAAATGTTATAAAAATCAGAAAATATAAAGAAAGTGTGTGTTGTTGATAGGCAGCCGCCAAAGAAGTTAAAAATAAATAAATAAATTTACGATTTTATATTAATTAATTATAAGAGAAGAGAAAATATTTACTGAAAACTTTGAAAAGTTTTTTATAAATAAAGAAAAGGGGTTTTATTCAAAATTTCTCATATTCTTAAGAAAAATATTAGATTAGATTATATTAAAAAGAATTAATTTTATATAAACAAGTGAAATTAAATTTTCGGAATTAGGAGGAGAGTGCTAATTACAGAAGGATGATTGGAGATTGGATGGAAATTCCTACACGAATTCCAATCCCAACTGAGCTCGATCAATCATATTTTTCCTGGAATAGGGACCGTGAATATTTTTGAGATAATTAAAAAAAACACCGGAGATTAAAATTATTTAAAAGTATCATCCATATACACTCAAATTTCCCAATCCCATTTTTTATTTATCCTTTTCCCTAAATTTTTATTTTTTAACAACAATAATTAAATAAATTAAAAAATTTATTTAATTTCCATATATTTTTTACTTAAATCTTTTTTAGCCCAATTTCCGTTAACTCTCGCCTTTTTCCTCATCTCTATTTTCTTTTCTTTTTTTGCCGCCGTGTCCTTTATATACACCGTCGGGAAAGATCAAAGAAAGACAGCCGGATGAATTATGGCCAAGTACGAATTGGGGGGATATAAATAAATATATATTTATTTTCTTTTCTTCTTCTTTTTTTAATGGAATGTTTTAGTTGTTGTTGGAAATTTTTTTGAGGAAATAAAAAAAATTTTAAGAAAAAAATATAGGGAAAGGGTCAACAATAATATTTTATTTTTTAATTGAGGAAGGAAAGGAAATGGTAATTTTTATAAAAGTTTTGATTGGAAAACAAATTTTAAAATTTTGGGGAAATAAATATTTAAATGGGGAAAGTTAAACTTTTTTTATAAATTTTTAGGACTTAGAGGTTGCAGTGACGGGAAACGTACAAGACAAACATATTCTCGTACACAAACTTTGGAACTTGAAAAAGAATTTCATTTTAACAAATATTTGACGAGAAAAAGACGACAAGAGATCTCAGAAGCTTTACAATTGACCGAAAGACAGGTTAACATAGAAATGAATTTTTGCTATTTTAATCATTTTTTAGGTCAAAATTTGGTTCCAAAACAGACGAATGAAACAAAAGGTTGGAATTTATTCCTGGGTTTTATTAGAAGAGACAAAGACAAGACAAACACAACCTTAAGCGGAAAACTATCAAATAGGCAAAAAACACTCCAAGAAATTTATTTAAGAACAAACAATATTTACAAAATATCACAAAAGGGAAATTACATATAGATATACAATTATGAAGGGAGAATTGTTTTTCCTATATTATCACACATCTCGGCGTCATCATCTTCCATCAACCGCTTACATGTTGTACTCGATTGGAAGGTTCTTGCGGCGAACCATACCGTCACCCTGGAACCACTCGCGGCGGAATTGCTTGGCTGCTCCTTCCGGGGTGTTGGTCCATTCGACGGTGACACGGTCGTTGTTGGTCGCTTCCGCAGCCGGATCGAAGGCGTCGCAAGAGATGGCGATATTGATGGCCTCCTTCGGGTCGAGAACACCATTGGGCGGGTCCATGTTCAGACGGCGAGGGTTGGTCGTCTTGAAGGCGAAGCCGATACGATGCCCACCAGAGTTGATGATCTGTAACAGTGAAGAAAAATTATTAGATGATTAGATTAGAATAAAGGACAAAAGATTTTACCTTCATGTAGTAGGTGTGCTTGTCGTCGAACGGTGCGTTGAAGATGACCTTCACGGCAGGAAGAGTCGTGATATCGCCGGGTGGAACAGACGCCATTGTTGAGAACGGTTTGTTGTTGTAGCAGGAATTGAAGTTGAAGAGAACTGGTTGATACCGACTGGCGTTCTATTGGCTCTTTTATACTTTATGCTCGAGAATAGAATTCTTGAGAGAGAAACTATAAAAACCTTTGTTATACGCCAGTTCCCCCAACCTGCTTTCTGTTCAACTACACAAACAACGACAACAAACCGTTCTCAACAATGGCTTCTGTTCCACCCGGCGACATCACAACGCTTCCTGCTGTGAAGGTCATCTTCAACGCGCCGTTCGACGACAAGCACACCTACTACATGAAGGTAAAATCTTTTGTCCTTTATTCTAATCTAATCATCTAATAATTTTTCTTCACTTTTACAGATCATCAATTCTGGTGGGCATCGTATCGGCTTCGCCTTCAAGACGACCAACCCTCGCCGTCTGAACATGGACCCGCCCAACGGTGTGCTCGACCCGAAGGAGGCCATCAACATCGCCATCTCTTGCGACGCCTTCGATCCGGCTGCGGAAGCGACCAACAACGACCGTGTCACTGTCGAATGGACCAACACCCCGGAAGGAGCAGCCAAGCAATTCCGCCGCGAGTGGTTCCAGGGTGACGGTATGGTTCGCCGCAAAAACCTTCCAATCGAGTACAACATGTAAGCGGTTGATGGAAGATGATGACGCCGAGATGTGTGATAATATAGGAAAAACAATTCTCCCTTCATAATTGTAATTTCCCCCGGTTTTTTTGTGTGATTCTTATTGTCCCTATTTTCTTGTGTGATTGTTTGTAAATATTATTTGTTTGTAAATAAATTGGGTTTGAATGTGTTCTTGTTATTTTCCAAATTTGGCACAAGCTTTTCTCATCTTTGCTTTGTTGGAGTATGGTTGACTTAATTAAGTCTTTATTCCTTGTTTAGTTCCCATCTTCGATTTAAGAATTATCCTACAATCTCAACCAGTTTAAAGACATTTTTTAAAAACAATGTTAATTGTTGAGTTTTCCTTCAGCCATTTTCGCTTACCAAACTTTTAAATTTACCTAGAAAGAAATAAAATGTACGGATTACGGCGCCACTGAAAGTGCTGGAGAAGAGGAGGATCGAATAGAAAGAAATGTTCCAATGACGTTGATGATGGAAGATAAAAATAATTTAAACCTTTGCCATTTACGGAGCAATGGAATTGGTCATTCGCTTTGAGAAAACCGTGAGACAATATTAAATTTATAAAATGTACTTTCTCATGGATCTCACAAAATTTAAAAACAGATATAAAATTAAGAGATGTCCAAATTAATCCAAAAACAAAAAATTTGTAGAAATTAATGGTGACATCTCTTTTACTCATTTATTACTCGTTTAAATCTATTAACATGAATTCACAAACGAAAACATGAACCTCCCTCTATTAAAACTTTTAAGTATAAATGGGAAGCAATCCACAAAATAATACTTAACTAATCTAAACTGGAAAACAAAAAATTTAAATAAAACGATTTAAACGAGTAAATATGTAATTTTTTGTAAATTTTAGATAAATATTTATTGTTAACCAAAAAAGAATTTTATTTTTATATCAACTCTGTTGAAATGTTGTTTTTTTAATTAGGAAAAAGATTTTTTTGAAAATTTAAAGGGTTTTTTGAAGCTAGGGAAATCGGAAAAATATTGAGAGGAACATTACTGTGAGATTTTTTTCGAAAAAAACAACATTAAAATAAAGTTTAAATTTTCTTCCCAACAAAATTCAATAAATCCAGTGCTAAAAAAGAGATTGATATAAAATTGAATAAAAATCAATCTCCTTCTAAAATTACTTATTTTCATTATATTTCTGTCCAAAATTTTATTACGATAAAATATTCAAAAAAAAGAAACAAATTTCAGATATAAGAAATTTTATTTTTATAAAATATTTTAGTAATTTTTTGGCCACAAAGGCAGTTAGTATTTGAAATTATAATTTTTTCATATCAAAAACTGAATCTACTTTTAAATTTTGTTAAAGAATATTTCCCTTCTATTTTTTAAAATATAACTTTATTTTTGTTGGATCGGCTAAACAAAATTGTTTTTCTATAAAGATTAAATTCTCTTAATTAGTCGATTCAGTTTAACTTTAGAAATTTTTTTTTAAAATAAATTGGCCAATATTGAGAGAGATATAAAAAATATATTTTCTTTAAATTCTTCAAAAAAAATTTCTAAGAAGGACCTAACAAGAGTTCATGTGAACATTCTTGTTCCATAAAAGTACTAAGCCGTTCAAGTAATTCATCAGTCACAACTTCACAAGCAATAGCACCATTTCCGAATGGATCGAATGGCATTGTTTGGAAACTGCCGGTATCTGGAGTAAAATTACGAACTTCTTTCCATAAATTTTTTGTACGATCAAGTCCCGCTGCTGCCATATGAGCTAAAAAATTTTTTTATTTAAAATTAAATCTAGAAATCTTTAACTTAAAACAAAAAATTGCCAAAAATTTCAATTCATTTTTGTGGAGTCAATTAATTTCTTGTCAAAGACACGCAGAATTTAGTTATCAACTCGTAAACTCAAAAAGGAATTAGTTAAGGAAATGAGTTAGTCAAATTGGAACATAATATCAGGTCGTTTCAAGCAGTAAATATCATCAGAAATGGGGCCAGATTTCTTTAAAGGGGTATCCAAATGCTGTTAAGACTCGAGGCAAATATTCTGTTTATTGTTAGTTAGATTTTGTTTGCGATTTATTGATTACTACATGGGCAAATCAACACAATTAAGGAGAAATCGACAAACGATAATTATTAAAATTATTGTCTATCGATTTCTTATTTTATTAAAAATAATTTCTATACCATCCATTTCCTGATAACTCATTAAAAGTGGCGCAACGATCAAATCAGTGTCTTCAATTGTCTAAAAAATAAAATTTAATAAAATTAAATAAAATTTAAAAGATAAACTGGTTGTGTAGTTGTGTGTAAATGTGCCTCAATTTCATTACAATTTGTAGCTCTAAATTGATAACAAGCAGCAAGTAAAAGACAATTTGTACAATTTCTCATAAAAACACTGAAAAAAAATAATTTTAAAAATTTATATTTAAAAAAACCTTCCACGTGAAGGTCCGCAAATAAAAATACAATTATTGCAATCTTCAATAATAACTGAAGAAACATAATCAAGTAAAGCTAGAACTGAACTCTAAAATTATTTTGAAATTTAAAAGTTTTAGAAAATATAAGGAATTAAACAGATAGACTGTTGTGCAGTAGGGTAAGTATAAAAGTTAGTGTTAGTCTAGTTGGATCATACTAGCCCGGCTAATCCAGGATCTTTTGCCTACATTGTAAGTTCAATCCCCTTTTAAAATTTTTGGCTCTATCTTAGGACATGCGTCCCATGAACTTTTATGCGTCCCATGAATGTTTATGCGTCCCATGGAGGTTTATGCGTCCCAAAAATAGTATATGCGTCCCATGAAAGTATATGCGTCCCAAAAATAGTATATGCGTCCTATGAAAGCTGCCACGGCCCAAGAATTTATATGCGTCCTAAAATTAATATAAGCGAAAGAGAATTTTGTAAACTTATTTTGCCCAGCCATCGCTAATGATGGTTCAACATTTTCAGTATTTACATATCGTAAATGTTCAAATAATGGTCCATTTGTATTAAAAGCAATCAAGAAGGACTTTTTGAAAAATATAAACCAAGGCCTCATTTTAAGTAAATTTGTAAAACGTAGTTGTAAATTACCAGCAAAATTATTAGCTCCAAGTTCAAGGACTAATATTTAATTGTCATTAATAAAATTAAAAAATGTTTTTGCAATTGTTTTACGCTTATTTTAATTTTGGGACGCATATATTTTGAAGGGACGCTTATACTATTTTTGGGACGCATATACTTTCATGGGACGTATAAACCTCCATGGGACGCATAAACTTTCATGGGACGCATAAAAGTTCATGGGACGCATGTCCTAAGATAGAGCCAAATTTTTCCCTTCCCCATTTCGGGAAGGGAGCTTTAGCCCCAGAAGCCCTCCCCCGTGGCTATGTACGTGATTGTAACATTATACTTTAGATATACTGTTATTCTTGTAGACGCTGACTTAAGGAAATCTCGAACAACCCTCCTCAGTCATAACACAGACTAGGCCACAGGTCACATAAAATAAAAACAACCGTGCATCCCCTTATCGTAAATTGAAGCCCATTTAATTGTCCAGATTCTTTAACACAAGTTTGTTCATTCAAATCAATAAAAGCATTGTCAGCATTCATTAAAGGTGGATAACCTTGCGCAGAGGACATTGACCCGCTCTCTGAAGGTGAAGATCTTCCACCACTTGCTGCCAAATCTTCTGAAGATGAACTTCCACCGCCACCTTTGGAAGAACCTTTTTTTGATGGTTTGTGTGTAAATGTGAACATTTTGAAAAAAAAATTTAAAAAAAATAATTAATAAATTTCAAAAAAATTAATAAAAAATATTAGAAGTGAAGAAAATCGCCAATACAAAAAAAAATCTAAAAAATTCTAAATTAATTTCCTATTTTTTATTTACTAAAAATTAAACAAAAATAAACAACAAAAATCATTCAGGATGATCATATTCGCTTTTTTCCTTTCTTGGATAAGCGCCTCTACGAGGAAACCAAGGCATTAAAATTCCACTATATGGACGTCCAATGTCTAAAAAAATTAATATTTTTAAGGATATTCTGATTTAGAATTAAATATTAAAATTCGAATAGGGAACCATTGAGAAATGTGTTAATAAAATTAATGTCATACAAGTGCATTAGTCTCAAATCATGCAAAATACCAACTTAAGTGACAACAGGATTTTATACTTTTATGCTTAAAAAATAAACCCAGCTAAAAAACAATTTTTCTCAGAAAATTTTTTGTCAGTTAAACTCCCGGAAAAATTAAAATTCAAACAATCAGAAGTCCGATCAAAATCATCAGGATGTAATTCCATATAATGCTCGATAACTGCATCTCTTGTAGCCATATTGTAAACACGATTTTTACCAGCATAATAAGCGAGGCACATCCCCCCAGATATAAGCAAAGATTTTACAACAATTGCTGTTTAAGAGAGAAAATTTTAGAAAATATTTTTGGTTTGAAGGGAAAATTTTTAAAAGAATTTTAAGTAATTTTATCGATCCGGTGGGGCTATTAGTCAAAATTCAGGTAGTCAATTTCAACCATTATCCTCATTTTATTGCTAGTTCAATTTAAAGTAAGGATGACTTTTATTTTACCCCGATGTAAATTAAAATAATAAAATACCCTTAATTATTTAAAATAAAAAAATAACCTTGGTACCACGGCTTTCTGTAGAAGATATTATAGTAACTACACTGAAATAAAAAGAAGTCAAGATATGCAACTAGACAAAGCAAGTTAAAACCAGCCTTTAACATTATTAAATGTCAAATTTAGCCAGTTATGAACTACAAATCATTGGATGGGTCAAAGCTTTATTGTCAAGATGATATTTCAGATAAAAGGAAACCCTCCCCCCCCCCCCGTAAATCCCCAAAATCAATTTCTAAAAAGGCAAATAAAATTTAAAAAAATTAACCGATGTTATACCAGCAATGCCAGCAGCCAAAGTCAACTTAGCTTGCAAAGGCCAACTAAACGGATCGAAAATGTTGTATTTAATTTGTCCTTCAGTCAAAAATGTCTCCCTCCTTTTAAATTCCTCAGGCGAAATTTTAACATGTTGTCCATTAAATACCATCAAAAAAATTAAAGAAAATCCTTTAAAATTAAAAACTCAAAAATATTTAAATGAATAAACAAATTATTAAAAAAAAATTAAAAAACAATTTATCGATTTTACTACACAAAAATAGCCTCAAAACACAAAATAACTCCCAATTTAGACTTTATTTATTTTCCTACAATTTTTTATTTTTTCCTTCTTAGCGATCAAAATCAGCCGGGAATGTTCCACTTTCACGCTGATCGTCCCACTTCTCAACCCAAAAACTTGGACACATATCACGATAGACATTTTGGAAGAATTTACACGGAGCATAGTCTTCACCCATTAATTCCTTGCAACGGAAAAAGTCAACATAATAAGCTAAAAATAAATGTTGTAGTGGGAAATTACGAAAAAGAAAGCAGAATCAATGAGGAAAATCTCTTCATTCAAAATAATTGGGGAGACTTGAATAAGCTATAAATAATCGGGGTAGTTCAAAATAATTTCATAACCTGGGGGAGGATGTCATTTTCTGCTTTCAATTACAAGAGGACTTTAAAAACTAAATTTTATACCAAAACAATGGCGCTGCTTACGGCATTGAGGAAAGCGCGAATCATATGGAGCAGCCTAAAATAAACAAAAATAAAAATAATTTTTCAATTAAAGAAAAGCAAACCCAAGCAGTCTCGTTTTTCGACTTCTCATGGAATTCTTTAGTCCAAATTTTCTAAAAAATTAACAGAAAAATTAAAGAAAAAAACTCGTTTACTGGATCATCCGGAGATGGCATAAGAGGTCCGCCTTTTTCCTTCAATTTCTCAAGACGCTCACCAAGTGTATCAGGAATTTCAAATCCATCAACAAAAATTGGCATTTTTATTTATTTTACTGGAAAATTATTTAAACGACAAAATCTGAAAAAGAAATAAAAAAGATTTTGGGTTATTGATAAAAATCATTAAAGAAAAAGGAAAACAAAAATTGAGAAAAGGTCAGAAAAACCGATTCAGTCAGATCAGAGTAGCATTTCGATCTAGCTAGGGAAAAGAATCTTCATATCAAGAGCTTTCAAATATTAAAAGATCTATGAGAAATGCTAAAAACCCTCAAAGTTATTGATCGAATATAACTCAGGACTCAACCGGCATGACCCGTCCGTTATTCTAACGGGTAGGGAATCATGTATTATTCCTTGTCCCTGGAACCATATTTTGGGCCATAACTTTTTCAATTCTTATCAACCTAGGGATTTCGAATTGGTAAGATGCTACTCCGATAAGATGCTGTTTTTTTAACTCAAAGGGCGTACAATAAAGAAAGGTATAACAATGTTTGTAAAAATATTTTGAAATAAATTAGCTGGATTTATTCAACCAAAAAATGCATGTAAAAAATTATGCTAAAATAATTTATTGAGAAAGTCAATGAAAAAATTCGAAATATTTTTTAAAAATATATTTAATTTTTAATTCTCCAATAAATCCAAAACTTAATTTTCGTCTTTCCAAATTCTACTCCTTCATAATTTTAATTTTAACGTAAAAGCTCTCTTCATTACAAAACGAGAATTTAACCGTTGGATCGTGAATGTTGACAACTTGATAAGTGGTAGATTTTGTATCATTTGATTTCTTAATTTCAGCATTTTTTGCTTTGTCGTGTAATTTAAGAGTTGTACAACTATCAAAATGAAGAATAATGACAGGTACCATTTTCGAAAAGTCTTTAGATGTTGCCACATACTGAAAATTGTAAATTTATTTTTAACTTTGAGGTAAATGAGTACAGCCCTGGAAACCTAAGGAACCTGCTGAAAACATCAAAGGGAATATTGAGGGATTTGGAGTGATTAAAGAGATATCGACTTAGAGTCGGACTAAGCGACTCTGAGTCGAGTCTGAATCTCTAAGATTAGATTCCTGAAAAAACTCGAGATCAACAAATATTGTTGAACAAAGAGCCATTTCTCATGCTCCTAAACTGCGTGATATGGTACACGCTCACGATATAGACCACAGGTTCCCAAATACAGAAGTTGGTGCTTATCTCCATAGGAACTACTAAGTACTTATCTCCCATTCCCCCTTAATCCATCTAAACAACTTGATATTCCCTTACAAAATTTTTTCGGGGGGTGTAGGTTTTCAGGGTTGACCCCAGTTAAATAACTTACTTCAACAATATAATTATAAACATCTTTGGTAAATCCTGGAGTAGAAAAGAGCGTCACATAAACTTCTTTTCGAAATTTGTCTCCTCCACATAATAAAATTTTAAACAAATCATTTTTATAGTTCTTCAAAGTGTCAATATCAAATATCCAAAAAGAAAGTCGATGATATTCGCTAACCAAATTGTTCAAAATAAATTGCATTAAAATGTCAATATTGTAGTCTTGAGCAGAAATATTGCAATTTTGAACATAAAATTGTTTGGCTTCCCCGAATAATAATTCAATCACTTCTGGATTGATTATATAGTCTTCAAAGTAGGAGCATTTAAAAATACATTTGAATAACTTGCTCAAATAATAGTAAACTATCCCGATATCCTCTTTGCTTTTAATCATGGCTGGCAGTTTAAGTATATATTCTTTTGTTTTGTCAACTGAAAATTTTTTAGTTACGTAAAAGAAAATTTGAAAAGCTATCGGACTCTTCGACTAAAAAAATGAGGCAGAGCTGGCCGAAATTGCGTGTTATTTTTGACCGCTTTGCGGAAAACTTTTTCATTTTCGGTAAGAAGTCAAATTAGCAAGTCTTTAAGGAACCAAGCAACCGTTGGCTCTTGAGAGAAGCGTCTCACTATTTATCTTCTCGCTGGAGTCAGCGGTCATTCGACCGCTTTTGCCGCTTCCTCCGCAGCGGCAACAACTCTAAGCCAATTTTTAAACTAAAATTAACCTGTCTCCAAAATAAGATCTTCTTTGTCCGGACCATGACAACTTAAAAACAAAGGAATTGGGTATTCAAATCCATTTTTGAACTAAAAAAAAGGAAATTTGAAGTTTAAACACATTAAATACCTTCTCTTCAAGTCCTTTAGGCAATGGAGAACCAAAATTTTCAGCTTTGGGTTTTATCAAAAAACGAGGAAGTTCGTCACTACCGAGATAACCCTTAAGTAAAAACTTTTTTTCAGAAATTAATTAAAAAGCAATTACAAGAGAAATCATATTAAACTTCTCCTTAGCAAATTCCCCCTCATATTTAATAACAAAATTGTGAAAATAAACATTCGAGAGTTTGAATGCCAATAATTGTTGATAGTTAAGACATTTAAAAATGTCAATTTTCGTTTCATTTGGAAAAGAATAAAGCATTTTTAAAAGAAAGTTTAAATAAAATAAATCCTAGAAAATTTAAAAAATAACAAAATAAATTATCTTTAGCCAACTAAAAAAAGGCTATCCAAAAATTGCCAATTAATTAAACACCAACTAGAGACCGGCAAAATCGCATTTCCGGGATCCCGAGTCGGGATTTTTTTTCTTGACCGATGCCGGGACGGGATCCCGAGGGAGTAATCCCGAAAAAATCCCGGATCCCGAATGATCCCGAAAATCAAAAAAATCCGGGATTTCGGGATCGGGATCCCGGAAAATCCCGTCGGGATCCCGTCCCGCGCCGGTCTCTAACACCAACACACAAAATGCCAACAAGGCTAAAAATGTACATTATGCCAATAAGGGCAAAATTTTAAAAATTTGTCAAGAATTTATTCTCTTCCTCCGCTTACTATCTTTCACTCAAATATCTGTCATTAGGAGTGTGTAAAAATTTCGCTTTTTGCCAAAAATAGCGAACGGCGAAAGACGAGTCAAAAAAGGCGAAAATCGGCGAAAGGCGAAAAAAACTATTATCGAATTTAAAGAAATTTAATTAAAAACCCAACAATTTTAAAATTCCAGTGGGGTACTCAGTCAACTAACTAACAAAATTAGTTGAAGAACTGAGGGAAAACAAAAAAATTGACAGAAAAAAAACAGAAAAATTGACCCTTATTGACAAGATAAACGTTTAAAGTATTATTGGCAAAATGCACAATAACCTTTTGCAATGTGAAATATGCGAAACGCTCAAAATTTAAAAATAATTCTTTTATTTTACAATCAAAGTAAATGAAATACAAATTAAAAGATTTGTGTAGAATTTAAAGAGATTTTTCTATTCTGACGTTTCTATATTTACATCTATTTGAACATCACTATCATCATCATCCAAATACCTTTCATCATTAAGAAATGCTGTATATTTCTCTTTATTAGCAGCACGATTAACAACAATTCTAAGCTCATTCATAAGTTTTTCATCTTCTTGTTCTTGTCGCCAACGTAAATAAATATATACGAGAAAGCCAAGTGCAATAGTTAGCGCAAATATTAAAGTTGAAGAGACAACAATAACCTCAGCTTCTTCAGATTCGAATATCTTTAAGTAAAAAATAAAGCTTTTTTAGCACAAAAATCCCCCCATTCTTACCTCATCGCTAAAACTTTCCATTTCTGATTCAGCAGGCTTCAAAGCATTGGGGCACCACCTCTGTGTGAGAAAATGTCTCACATCAATTGTTAAATTCATTTTTGAAGAGAATAGAAGAAATATTTGGATGTTGATTGTCTCATTATTAGCTTTTATATACCGTATTTTCTCTAATAGTGCGACTGTCTCTAATAGACCGACCCCTTCTATTAAATCGACCCTCTACAAAATGGTTGAAAAATAAACCGACCAGTCGCACTATTAGAAGAAATACGGTATTTGTGGAATTTTTGGAACGGATGGAATTTTTAAGGACATTTTTTAAAGACTTTTTGCAGACTTTGTTTGGGTAAAAGTTCTAGGGTTTTTTCATTTACAAATTATTTATCAGAATTTTTAATGCCTAAAATAATTTAACTAAAATTTTCTCTCATAAAATTTCAATTTTTTACAATCTTTTTTATCCCCCTTCTTTCGTAGTTGACCGGCCAAACAATTTTATTTACACAATTATAACCCAAAAATATCTTTACTCTCCCGGGATTTAGTCGGCAATAGAGAAAATATCCATCAAAAAGATATATTTATAGTTTTTGACCGCTATTTTAAATGCCGCCTTTTCTTTATCTTTCCGCATTACACCTTTGAAACGATGGACAAGGTCGGTCGACAGGAATGACAAGAAGGTAAAAATTAAACTTTAAATTTATTCTGAGATTATAATTTAATTATAAATAATTAAGAGGATTGGAAAGAAAATGGAATTTTTAGAAGATTTTGGAGAAAGGTTTGGAAAAATATGATAGTGAAAAAATTTGAAATAAAAAACAAAAATTTTTTAATAAAAATAGCCCTCAGATTCAATTATAGCAAGTACTTACTTAATACAGTGGTGCCAATTTAGTTAAGAAAAGGGGTAACTTCTATGTAATTCGGCAGACAATATTAAAAAATACCACAATTCGGCTTGCCAAATCAGACTTAGTTAAGTAAGGAGGTTATAAATAAGATTTTTATAAAGAAACAAATCATAAGCCTTAATTATTTAAATAAGATTATCGGACTGTAGAAGAGAATCATAGAAAGATAAACTAACAAACTTACTTATTTCCTATGGATTTCCTTTTATTTTTAATTTTTTTTCTAAAGATTTTTTAAACCCCCATTTCCGAAAATATTTTCATTCATTTTTGTGCCACTCCCTTAAATAAAAAAAAACATTCAATCACCCCATATGGCCTTATTGCGCAATCAAATTTTCCCTTTTTTAATGAAAAAGAGAGCGCGGCATTATTTACTTAAATAAGCCGATAGCTAAATATTGAAAGACTAAAATAAATATATTTATTTATTTAATTCTTTTATTTATCATTTTTAAATTGCCGTCAACAAAAGAAAATAAAAGGAAAAGACAAAAGCCGGCGACGATGTTAATCCCTTAAAGCAAAATAAAGACATTTGGGTGCAGGGAAAGTATGGCGTGGTTGTGTAAAATTATCAAAAAGAATTCTTAGACTGTTTACTGTTTTGCTAAAACTTTCTAATTTAGATTGGGTAATTTAGAAAATTATGGCCTTACAGGAATTGATCTCCAATTTAGGGATCCGTTTTTAAAATCTTCACACTCTAAAGCCGCCCAAAATCCTGCGCCCAACCTTCCCCCACCCTTACAGCAATTGATCTCCTAAAGGAGCCCCTAAGGGTTAATGGGGAAATAAATAGTAAAAGGGTGACACTGTAAAAAGCAAAATAGTTTTTGTTTTGTTTTAGCGATTGGCTTAAAAGATAAGCTCTATAAAAGGCAATATATTAAATGATTGAATAGAGAGAGGGAGAGGAAAAAGGGTTTTTATTAATAAATTGGACTCATTACAATCCACTTATAGCGAGGGAATAAAAAAATCCTCTTTAAAACAAAACATGTCCCCCTCCTCCTCCTCTATTTATATAATTAATGGAAATATATCGGGAATGGGAAAATAAATAAATTTGGAGGGAAGAGAGGTGGAAAGGGGAGATTTTGAGGGAGATTACGGCAAATTTTTGTATATAATTTTGTGATTTATTAAAAGGAATAGATTTTGATTGTAAAACTTGGGAATATTTATTTATTTATTTAATTACTGTACTAAATAATTGGAAATTACTTTTAAGTTGTCCTCTCCTCTTTTATTTAATTAATTTTTGTGAATTAAAAAAAGCTTTAACTATTTATATTCAAGATATACCGACAGTAAATCAACATCCCTGTTATAATTTTATGTATCAGTCTATTTCTTGTGATCTAAATGGGAGAGAGATGAGTTTGTATTAAATTTTAGATTTTTTCGCTTCTTTGGAGGGCTATAGCTTTTTAATTAGTAAATTAACACAGGGGATAATTGAGTTTGTCCCTCGCACGTCTCCAAAATTCGCGGAATTTGAGTTTTTTGATAATTCCCCCGCAGGGTGGCCCCTTCCAAAACACTAAAATAGGGCACAGACACTCAAAAATAGGGCAAATATAGGGCGAAATCGGCCAAAAATAGGGCAAAAATTAGGGCATAGTTTTAAGAGCTTAAACATAATTAAAAATTCAAATAAGGTGAAAATATTGATACTTCTGGAATGCCAAGAAGCCAAATTTCTTCGATTTTTAGCGTCGCAAGAAAAAATTTTGAGGATTTTGGGAGGCTAGAAGCCAGATTTCTTCCATTTTTTGCGCCGCAGGCAAAAATTTTGAGGATTTTGGGAGGCCAGGAAGTCAGAAATCCTTCATTTTTACCATTTTTCTTACAAAATCCGAAGAATTTTTAAAATTTTACAAGATGGAAAAATAGGGCAAAAATATGGCAAATGAGAATATAGGGAAAAAATAGGGCGAAAAGATCAAAAATAGGGAAAATCCTCTATAAATAGGGTAAAAGGGCCACCCTGTTCCCCCGTCCTTTTAATCAACCTTCCCTACACATAAATTTTTCTGAATGATTCGACCTATTGCGGCAATTATTCTACCATTTGACCTTTAAAATTTTAATATAATACCTTCAAACAAAAAAATTCTGCCTTAACATATCCCTCCTATATTTTATACTTTACCTACTTTTATTTTCACATTTTTTCCTTCTTAAAAAATTTTTCAAAAGTCCCTACAAAATTTCCAGTCTTTCCTCTATTTATTTTATCATTCTCCAAACCACTAAAAATTCTTCTCAATATTTTTCTTTTATTTATTCTTTTCTTCAACTCGTTGCTTTCACCACCAGGTAATCCATCATATTTTTGTCTTTTTTCTTCACCACATCCTCCTTCTCCTTTTCTCTCTTTTTTAATAAAATTATTTTTCAAAAAGTTTTTGTGTGTGCGACTGACTGGCGGCGGTTTATAAAATAAAAAGAAGTACGGGTTATTATGTATATATTTTGGGTGGGCTAAACAAGAAATTATTAAATATTAAAGAGCTATTAAAAGGCCGTAGGGGGAAAGTATTTTTTTCTTCTTCTTCTCTCCTTTTTTGGAGAATTAATAATTGGAGAAGAGTATATCTACTGTATTTTTGTAGGTAAATGACCGAATTTAAAAAAAGAAAGAGAAGATTAAAGGGGCCGTACCACTCTAATTTGTAAGAGGGTCTAATATATCCCATTAACAATACCCAAGTCGAAGCAATTTTATGATTTTTAACTACTATAAGTTTTCAAATCCTAAAAAGTTTGAAAATTTTTTAGCGGAATGGGAGAGTGCCTTTCCATTTAAATTATTTGTTAAAAGGGTATTAGGTGTTTTTGAGACTAAAAACCCCCAATGAAATTAAAGGGAGGGTGTGAGTTATTGATAATTCGGAAGATCTATCAAAACTTCGATTTTTTAAAGAAGTAAAAAATATTTATATTTAAAAATTAAAAAATTTATTTGACAAGAAATTTTGTGAAAAAAGAAAATTTAAAGAAAATTTTCAAAAAAATATACAAAATTTATTTGATTATTTGAGAAAATTTAAATTATATAAATATATTCATTGTTTACAATTTAGAGGTTTGATGTGTATAGAATCAGAGGTTTTAAAATGAAAACTATGACTGTAAGGAATTACTGTAAAAAATATTAAAGAATTTTTTTAAAAGGGGGTCGAACCCCTTAAAAGAAAGAAAACAAGCACTTTGCCGACAAAACTATTAGAGCTAGGCCGACAAAGCTCTACCCACCCTAATATTTGCTAAATATGTATAAACACTTTTTTGTTTCTTTTTTACAGTAAAACACAGTCATTGCACAAAAACAATTTGGAGGAAATTGAAAGAAAGGAATGAGAATATTTAATGTTTTTTGGGTGAAGGAGAAGGTCCATCAGAAGAAGAAGAGGAAGAACCAGCTAAGGAAGAAGGACATGAACCTGGAACTTTTTGATTATTTAAATTTTGTTGTAAAATTGTTGGGGGTAGTGGATTTGTTGTTGAAGTATTCCAATTTGTTGAACGTAGAAAGGCTGTTTCTTTTTGTTGTTTTTTCATCTTTAAAGAAATTTTTTTGAAAAGAAAATTATTGTTTTGAATGGGGATAATTAGAAGTAAAAATTATTATTTAAATTTTTAATTGAGAAAAAATTTTTTTTAAATTTATTCTTAACAAAAAATAAAAAACCTTCATTCTCCTATTTTGAAACCAAATTTTAATTTGGGATTCGTGTAGCTGCAACATTGCGGCAATTTCTGCTCTTCTACTTTTGTTTAGATATCTATAAAAAATAGAGATTAAGAAAAAATAATTTATAGGAAATAATTTGAAGAGTTAATAATTTCCTTTCCTCCACTTCCCCTTCCAGTCAAGACTTTGAATAAAAAGAAGCAAATTTTAATTTTGGTATTTTTAAAAGGTTACACAAAGCTTTCAACAGAAAGGAAGCTTTTCACAACTTCTTCCCTCTTCTTCCTTTTTTTATTCCCTAATTTCTCCCCAAAAATTTATTTAAATTTAACTAATTAAATACTTGTTTGTATGAAATTCCTTTTCCAATTCAGTTAATTGATGATAAGTAAAGTTTGTTCGATTAGTTACATTCTCCTGTGCCCCCAATGGAGATATTGACGATATTAAAGAAGTTGAATTTGTTAAAGAGTTATTTATTAAATTATTATTATTAATCGCCTCTTTATTAATTATTGAATGTCCATTTAATGCTGAAAATATTTAATTGTTAGAGGTATATACTACAATTTTTTTGGAGAAGGAAGGGATTTAAAAAGTTTTTGCCAATAAAGAGGAGGGAGACCCTTCTGTCTGTGAGACTCTCTATAGAAAGAGACTTTCTCTAAATTTAAAGGCCCTTTTCAACAAATAATACTTTCAATACGGAGCTTCCAATCACTCCTTTTCCTGCTAGAAACACTAAAAATCTGGACGTTATCGATAGCCATTTGTTCCAAAATAAATTCTAACTAAATCCCCCCCCCCCTCAATGCCAAAAAAAGTTTTTTCTTTGATTTATTTATGGCCTTTCTCCTTCATTAAAGGTGTCAAAGTTGACCCAGGAAAAATAAAGTATTTATTTAATAAAGTTTTAACCTGCCACAGTTCCTTGAATGAAGGAGGAAGTGGCTATTGTTGTTGTTGTTGAGGGCTTATTATTTCCGTTAATATTCCCGTTATTATTTCTTTTTACTTGCATCCATTTATATTGCTCTATTGGGGGAAGTTGTTTTGATTGGTGGTTTTCATTGTAATTATTTGTTGTGGTGGTGGTGGATTTTGTTATGTTATTGTGTTTTAATTGTTGATTCCTTTTACCTCCTTTTTAATTTAAAACAATTAATTGGAGGGAGGGGGGGGGGCAGGGGAGAGGGGGGTTTCAAATAAAGTTTCAGTTAATTTCCAGGATTCTCTTAAAATCAAGGCTGACACCAATTGATTTTTACTTCTAACTCCAATAAACTAACATTATTAACATTATTAATTATATTGAGGATTTACTCCCTCAATAACTATTAATTGCTTTGATTAGTAAAGCTATCCTCCCTATGTTTTTAAAGATTAAAAGAAGTTTTTCTAGTTAAAATTAATATTTATTTTCTTAATAGTAAAACTTACTAGGACCACGTTTTTTAACTTGTTTAGGTATTGTAGAGGGTGTATTTACAATAAAAGAATTATTTGAGGAGGAAGGAGGGGGAGGGTTATTATTAGAGGAGGACATTGAAAATGTTGAAGTATTTTGAATTTCGTTTGTTGGTTGTTGTTCTTCTTTTAAAGGGATTATTTGGTGATTATTTAAATTAGGATTTCCATAAAAATCAACTAAATGTGAAGGAAATCCTCCGTCATTTGTTCCTCCAATTACTGTGGAAGGCGAAGGAAGTACTGAAGGAGAATTGTTAATTGATAACCAATGATGATGTTGATGGTGAACTGAGGGATCGGAAGAGAATAATTGATTCTGTTGCTGATCCATGGGACAAACTGTCATCGAGGAAAGACCGTGTAAATGATTGGGAGCTTCATAATTTGGTTGAATAAATTGATGGGAAGAAGCTGTTGAAGGCTGGAAATATTTTGGGAGAATTTTTAGTGTTTATAACGATTAAATGCCTAATGAGGGGTCTTTTACTTCTTTCCTAGCCTTTTATTTCTTATTAAACATATTTTTGGACAATGTTCTTTAATCCACAAAACGGAAGGAGATGGTCTTAACAGATTTAGAGTTTATTTAAAAGTTGAAATGGTGAACGTTCTTAAGCAAAATAGGACGAGTATAATCCCCCCCCCCCCCCTACTTTATTGTTGGACACCCTTCCTTCCCCATCCTTCCCCCCAATCCAAACCTGTTGTTGATTATGCATTCCCCCACCCCCATTCCCAATAATTCTTTGTTGGAATGTTTGTGAATGCTGAATATTTTGATAATAATTAGAAGGTGTTGGATCCAATGATTGTGTTTGTATCATTGTAGAATTAGAAGGAAGATGGAAAGGGTCTGCTGAGCAACTCATTTTATGATATATATTTTTAATTTAAAATTTTTGCTTAAATTAGTAGTATTTTTATTTAATAATTAATTAATTAAATGTATATGTATTTACTGACTGGAAAATAAATAAAGTCCAATTCATTGTTATGGTAATTCCTTTACCTTGAGACAGCAAGGTAAGGGAGTTATTTATACTATAACAACAACCTACCTATATCTGTCCTCCCCCCCCTTCCCCCGCTTAGTAATATCCTAAACATTTTAAAATTTTCTTTATTATTCCGTCAAGAGAAAGTCATCAACAACTTTTTTATTAAATCTTGGAAGGATTTAAATTTTTATAAAATGCATAAGATGCTCGACTATAGTACCCAAAACTCTTTTAAGGAGAAATTCACGTTTAAGATTAAAAATACAAAAAAAAACATAATATTTTTATGGCTTCATTGCCTTTTAATTTGAATTTCCCAAAACTCCAAATAGAAAACAAAATTAAATTTTAATTCAAAAAATATTTCAAAGTTTTTACTAAAATTAATTAATTAAACTTAAAAAGTTCTGAAAAAGGCGGCAATAATAAAAAGAATAAAAAAAGGGTAGTAAATATAATATAGCAACTAATAAATTGGGGGTAAATGGAAAATGAATGGCCTGGTGGGTAAAAGAAAAAAGGGTTAGAAGAAGGAAGGAAGAAGTAAAGGAAGATGAGTGATGGGCGGGGCGGGCGGTTCTGTTAAGGGGTAAAAATATATTTTTAATATTTTGTGGGGAAGAATAAATAACTGTTTGATGGGTGATATGAAAAGCAAAAGAATTTAAAGAAGAAAGAAAGAAAACTTTTAGGTAAAAATAATTTTTTTGTCCTCAACACGGCTGTCGGCCGTTCTATAAAGGAAAGGGCCTTGTGGGCGTAGTAAGGGGTAATCAAAGACTTACAAAATTGACAAATAACCCCCTATAAAACCATGGAATTTTGTTTAGAAGCTGGATAATCTTCAATACTTTAATTCACTAATTCACGGATACCGGTTTCGGATGCCTCGGATTTCCCAGACTTCGGATGCTTCGGGTTTCTCATGATCAGCCAACCCTATCCATTGTTTAAAACGTGGAATTTTCGAGAAGTGAATTTACCTAATTAATTTTTGGTTATATTTAACTTATAAAATAGGAAATAGAAATTCTTTTAATTTCTAGAAAAATTAGTCAACATTTATTTTAAAAAATTGTAAAAAAATTTTAGCTATAAATTTATAGTATAAAGGGGGAATTTATTTGTTCGCGGCCAGTAATTATTGCGCCGAAATGTTTTTTCAATTTTTCGAAGGACTATGAAGGAGGATATAAATTCCTTTTTTTTACCGGCCATAAATCAAAGAGACAGCTTCTGTGGCAGTTCTTTCCTTCCACCTTACCTTCCTGTTATGTATCGACTTACGGTGTGTCCGAGATACTAACAGAAAGACTATCTAACTAACAAGGTTTATCTACAATACTATACAATAAAGGTGAACAATAGGAATACGACTATCTGCTGGAGTGCAAGGACTAAGACTAAGACTGACTGAATAGACTAACGACTGACTAACGACTATAGACTAACACACGAATAACAGACTAACTCAATAACTCTCAATAACTCCCCGACTGGCTAAAGCCTCAGCCTTTTATACTAAGCACATACCCAACATCTCCCTCCTTCAATAAGGCAGGAACTATGTGACTGACTTTGACTCATGGGTGTGCTTCAATACTACTCCAACAACAAACAAAAAAATGCATACAAGGGCCAAAATTACAATAACAAAAAAAGGGGGAAATACAAAAACAAACAACAAAAATATCAACAATATTATCACATTTACTTGCCCCCAATCATCAAATCGCTCCAAAACTTCTTTTCATCTTTGTCATCGTAACGTTCCTCTGGTACTGTCTCGCTTGTTCTGGTGCATCCTTAGACTTCAATCTGAAATTTTCAAAGACTTGACTACGAATCGAACTTTCCTCAGTTCCTAGACTATCTCTCGAATATGACTGACTTTCGAATGGCTTCATCGACTCAAACTTTCTAAGGTCCCATTCCTTTCTAGTGACTATCGTATTCAACTTCGGGACTTCGACTTTACATATCTCTCCGACTTTATACCGAATTGTCCCTATCAAGCAGACTGTTTTGCCATTTTTATTCTTATTACAGACTATGACTTCATCATTTTCTTTCAACTGACTCGACATTCTCGAATAAACAGACTTTCCCGAATAACTAGACTTTCTCGACTCTTGACTTTTCTGACTTCTGATACTTCTTGGACTTTCCGACTTTCTGCCCTTTTGACTAAGACTCTTTTGACTATACTCTCTTAACTTCGGAATCTCCACCGTCAGACAATGTGGTCCTGAATTACTAGAATTGACTTTCACATGATTGACTACTGGACTATTGCCCTGGCTCAACCATTTCTTTGGTTTCCGGCAGTTTCGACTAATGTGTCCAATCATGCCACAATTGTAACACTGACGTGACTCTCGACTATTGACTTGGCCTTCTCTTTGCCATGGCTGATTTCTTGACTTTCTGAATTGAGTACTCTGACTATGTTCGACGCGAGCAACGTTATTCACATCAACGTAATATGCAGGTTCGATCTTAACCTTTGGCTGACTATCGAACATTCTTGCCTCTGACTTCATTGCGAGATAACTGCGACATTCCTCTAACAGAATTTTCAGACTACACTCTTCAGTCTTCGAATAACGTTCGACGAATTTTAGACTGATCTGTCGCAAATCATTCATCTCTTCGGGAATCCCGGCAATGAATATGAGGATCTTGACTTCCTCGACTGACAAGGCCATCTCTGCTTTTTCGCATTCAGAATTGACTAAATTTCCGAAATCTAAGACTTTCTCCGGACAAGGGCACTTTAACTTCATTACTTCAAATCGTCTGACTAGCTTCGAACGCGGATCACAAAATTCCTTTTTTAACTCATCGACTAGACTTTCGAATTTCATCGACTCTAACTTCTGGGGCATCAACTTCTGTGATATCTTCGCATACTCACAAGCCCCTAACTTCGTGACTAACAATCTGACTTTGACTTCTTCTGCCAATGACTTTCCGTCGAATTCGAAAAATGACTTATTCTTATCATACCAAGACTCGAATGTGACTCCTCTCTCGATGTCTGCATTGAATTCTCCGACTAATGACTGCAATTTCCAATATAACTCTGATGACTGCTTTTCACTAGAATCTTCGACTCTCGGATTGTTTCCAATCAATCCTTTGACTAGCTGACTAAACTGCTGACTGATCTGTTCAGATTGAGCCTTGAGAATTTTCTCTAATTCTTCTGCTCTCATCTTGACTTGACTAGCTTGACTACTTCAATTGATTTACCGAATAACTATTTGACTGTTCGAATTCGACTGCGACCGCGCCACTGTTATGTATCGACTTACGGTGTGTCCGAGATACTAACAGAAAGACTATCTAACTAACAAGGTTTATCTACAATACTATACAATAAAGGTGAACAATAGGAATACGACTATCTGCTGGAGTGCAAGGACTAAGACTAAGACTGACTGAATAGACTAACGACTGACTAACGACTATAGACTAACACACGAATAACAGACTAACTCAATAACTCTCAATAACTCCCCGACTGGCTAAAGCCTCAGCCTTTTATACTAAGCACATACCCAACACTTCCTCTCCTTCTTTCTTCTACTATTTTTGACTGTCTTAACTTTTCACATTTTTCTTCAATTTCTTTTTTCATTCCCGCGAGACTTACTTCTTTTCAATAAAATATTTTCTTCTCCTTTTTAACGTCCTTGAAAGAAACTTCTTTTTAAAACCTCCAATCGGCTGTCTGGGCGGGCTAATAATTTATGAAAAAAAAAGAAATTTTTGACGAGTAAAATATATTGACATTGAAAAGAAGTGAAGGAAGGAAGAAGAGGAAGGAGGGGAGGGGTAGTTCTTTGGCCTAAAGGGTTATTTTTACTGTAATTATTAATGAGCATTACACGCCTTTTATTAAATAAAAAGTAAACGATTAATTAATTAAAATTGATTAAAAGCGCAAAATAACAAAAATAATTTTTAAATTAAAATCAATAATTTCTTTTAATTAAATTAATATATTTACATATCAGATTTTTAAATGTAAGGAAGGATCTAGTCGGAAATAATAGGACAAAAATGAATTATTTTTTCTTGAATTGAAGGAAGAGTGGGTGAATGAATGTGACCACAAGCAAATTTTTTAAACTTTTGCAAGGAAAAAATGACTGACCATTTCGTACTTCAACTAAATCGCGGACTGGGGGGGGGAGAAAATAATTACATATACATACTATTTATCTAAGATACACAAAAAGTTAATTACTTCTTGAGCTTTAAAGGTTTTTTAAAAATTTGAAATAAATTTTATTTAAAAATAAATATTTTTCTTTTCCTTTTTTTCCTAAAAATTTGTAAAGAAAATACTAAAAATATAAATGTTTTTATTTGCCTTTTTCTCGATTTTGATCTTCATCTTTATTTAACTAATTTATTTTTCTTTCTTCCCTTCATATGCAAATTCATTCATTTATTTTATTTCTTGGCAAGGCCATTTTAAATATTTTTAGCAATTTGTCATTGTCTGCCATATTTTAGGAAATAAATGGTATTTGTTTGTTTTTGTTTGTTTTGTTTCCTTTTTTAAAAAATAAAAATATTTTTATTTAAATTTTCTAAAATCGTAAAATACAATTAAAATCTAATTTGAAATTTTAAACTGAAATTAATTAAAAACCATTTGAAATTAAAGACTTCAGTTTAATCTCTAAATACCACAGATATATCGAGTCAATAGAAAGTTGTTTCTATTTTTATATTTTAAAGAGAAATAATGCTTATTGAAGCTTTAAATATGTATAGAATAATTACAAAAATTGAGTAATTATTTATTTATTTAAATTAAATTATTGTCAATTTTTGGGTATTTTTCAAAACATTTTGATTATTTATAATTATAAAAATAAAAAACTTTTAGCCACCTTATACATATTTTTTTATTCAATTAATCCATTTTAACCTTTGATTTCTTTAGAAAAATTATTTCTTTTTTTCCAAAACTTTTTTTAATTTTTTATTTAATAAAAACATAAAATTCTCAATTATGGATTATTTTATTATTTAATTTTAAATTCTAAACTACCCACTAATTATTTTCTCATTCTCAAACTACAAAAAATATAAAACAAATCACATTTTGAACAATACATATGTAGAGAAGAAACATTATCAAATATTAAATAAATTCGATAGTTACCCAAAGCTATTGGATTTTGAGTATTTTAACTTTTCTGCCTGATTTTATTTTAAAATTTGTTTGGTATGCTAAATGGACGGTGTTTTGTCTTAACTCAAAAAGAAATATTTTTTATCAAACAAAGTTAATCCTTCAAGTCTTATTTTCTACTAATTTTTGAAGTAAAAACTTTTTTAAAAATTTGTAATTTTTATTTTATAAAAGTATTTTTTGGCTGTTATTTTGTTTGTATTAAAATATTTTTAAATTCCTTAAAAAAGAAAGCGAAATATATGTATATATGTAAAATATTTTTACCAAAAACAGAAGGGAAAATATTTTAAATAAAAGTTTTTTGTCTAATCCATTCAAGATTAATGTAAGTAAAAACAAATAAAAAATATTTTTTAAATAATTTTTCTAAAATTTTAAACAAAAAATTGAGATTTAAGAGAATTAACATAATTTTAATTAAAATCTTCTTTTAAATAAAAAAATATTTTTAGAATAAATATTCTTTTTTGGACAAATTTCTTCAAATTTTTTAATTTTTTTGGATCAAAAATATAATTTAAATATTTTCTCAAAATCCACAAAGATTATTCCAAAAAAGAGAAAAATAAAAATAATTTTAATTTTTTGGTTTAATTTATGTATGTAGATATGCCGAGACGAACTCGGTTATCGAGTTGATATTTTCCGAAATATCGATATGGAAATCCAATCCAGTCTAAAATTTAAATTAATGTCACGAACAGAAAAAAGGAAGACCTCCTTCCTTCAAAGTTTTCTTAAATGATAAAAAATTAATTAGAAATTCAAATTTTATTTAAAATTAAAAGAGACGACAAATTATTTGTTAATTTTTAGTTACATGTAATTTTAGAAAAAAATATTATTTAATTTCTTTAGCAACTTTCTCAAATAAAATTCTTATTTTATTTTTGCTATTAAACGCTTAAACTTAAATTTATATAAAAACTTTTTTTTTATTTCCCGGCCAGAAACTTTTTCTTTCTAATTTTATTTTTAAACTTTTCTTTTTCTGTTGTCATTTAGATGTAAAATAAAAACGGTCAAAATATTTTGGGTTTTCCTTTCAATAAAGCACGGTGGATTGAGAAGAGAAGGAAAAGAAGCAACTGTTTTTGGATTTATTTAGACAACAATGGAGATTGTTAAATAAATAAAATAAATTTTTTGGCCTATTGGCGAGCTTTAAAAATGAAGAAGAAAGGGATTGAAAGAAGAAAAAGTAATGGGGACAAGGAGAGGGGGTAATGTGTAAGGGACACAGGTATATATATTTAGTTGGTTGGTTCTTTTACTAAAAGTAAATGCTTGAAAATTAAAAGAAAATAAAATTTATTATGGTCTTTTTAGAAGATAAAAAGTGCTAAAAAGTTATAAAAAAATTTTGGGAAAATAATGAAAAAATAGTAAAAAAAGAAGGTAAAAGAGAAGTCTAGAAAAATAATGTCTTTTAGATATAAATAATTGGCTTATTGCCGAGATAAAAATAAATTTAAAAGAAAAGTTTTCCCATGTCTAGAAAACTTCTTCTATTATCAGCTTTCATCAATGAATTGCCGCCCTTCTCCTACAGGCAAAGTCATAAATCGTTCATTCTCTCCCCGGCATTGCCTCAATTTTTGCTATTTTGCTCTGTTTGCTGTCCAATATTTGCCTTAAAAACTTTTCTCGCAGCACGCCCCCTCCAAAAAAATATTTTTATTTATTATTCTTCTTCTTCTTCCATTTTTCTCTTCTTCCCCCCTTTAACTGTCCACATTCTTCCTTCACTTCCATTTTCTATTCCCAGCCACCATCTTCTTCGCACCGCTCGCGCCATAAATCACTCGTCGTGGTGCCCAACCCGCCGGGTAAATACTTTTTAGTTGAGAGGAATAAATAGATTTGGAAAAATAAGAAAAGATGAAGAACACGGCGGACAAGGCGGATTTGTAACTCGATTTTCAGAAGGCTTTTTTTCCTCCTTTTTTTCTTTTCAATCCCCAAAAATTCTTTACATACATCCATCGCTAATAAAAACAATTTATTAAAAAATAATTATTTTCCGAATTTTTTTATTTTTGGCAATATTTTTTTCTTTTTAAATTTCTTTATAAGTGAATTAAATTCTTAACTTTAATGATAAAAGTACATAAGTATAAGCTTTAAGTATACCTTTTTCCTTTACTTTGAGGCATTCCCTTCCAGGACGAGGCCGAAGAATAAAAGGGCATTAATAGGCTACAAAAATAAGTTACAGGAGAATATCTCCCAGGAAATTACTATCTAGTCATTTCCAAGAAATGTAAACTTTGGGACAAAGTTTGGACCAAGTCTTGTAGAAAAATTTTTAAATTAAAGGCCGTGTTGGGTCTTTTAATCAGAAACCCGGTGCCGGTCGCTCAAAATTTAGTCCAATAACTACCTTTCTTTGGTCTGGCCTTCCCAATATTATCCATCCTCGAGAGTAGAAGAGTCAGTTTTTTTAATTAAAAATTTTTTAAATGCGCATAATTTTAATAATAACAAAAATCGATGCTTAACTACACCAAAATATTGCTCTATTCATTTTTCGAAGGGGGGGGGGGGGTGTTTTCACATGCAGTCAGTCGGTCTCTCCCCACTATCCCTTTCTTTTCGTTTATTTCCTTTTTTTCGATCACCCAATTTGCTAAAGGTGTCTTCCCTCATTATCGCTATATTTATATCATATTTAGTGGAGAAGTACAATAAAAACATGTAATAAACCCTATAATTGTTAATTTTTTGATTTTGTTGGACTAAAAATATTTTTAATTTTAGTTTTTATACAATATCTTTTATTAAAATTTGTTTCTTTTTTTTCTCTCATATATTTTACCCTATGGACCGGAATTTGTCAAATACTGGTGCTACTAATAAGTTAGAACCTTAACTAAATGGGATAATTTAGAAACGTAATTTGAAGGGTTTAAGAGAGGACGTTAGTAAAGGACATAAGTAAAATTTCTGTTTGTAATTTTAGCTTTTTTTAATTTCTTTTTTGCCCATTAATCTTAATAGAGACGATTTTAGAAATCTCTAGGCCTAATGTACAAAAAATATAAAATAATCTCTAAATATTTTAAAATTCTGTTAGAAATACTTTAAAAAAATTTTCTTCTTAAATTTAGCCCCTAAAATGCTAGATAAATAATAAAAAATTAGTAAATATTTTTTTTGTCTAAATAAAGTGAACTAAATTAACGACAAGTTTTGAATTGATAAGGTGTATTTTGACCTAGTATTATTTTTTACTACTCTTATCTTAAGAAAAACAACAGTGAATGTACATAATAAGTAATTTTTATATAATTTTTTGTGCATATAAAAATCGCAAGTTATTTTATATTTTATTCAAATATTTATTTATACATTAAAATTTCTTAAATTTTTTATGGCAAGCATTGATCCGCACTTGTAGTGGTGTAAGCTTGTTTTGTAAAAGCAAATCTGTTGCGCCCAGGCAAATAAGCTCGCTTCTACAGGCGTGGGTCTTCTTAGCCAATTAATATGTAATATCCAAATATTTTTTGTTACAATTTAATCAAAGGAACCGAAGTTTTGTTTTTATTAGACTAAAAAGGGTTTTTTGAAATGCTATCGACTCTTTAAATTAAAAATAGGTTTTGGTTGGAGCAAGTGCCCGTTCAAAAAATAGTTCATGGAAACCTTAACAACGAGCAAATGAGTAAATTTAAAGCCTAATTCGCATCAACATGTAACTAAACCATTCAAAATCAATTTATGTATTTACAAACAAACAATATTTACAAACAATCACACAAGAAAATAGGGACAATAAGAATCACACAAGAAAACCGGGGGAAATTACAATTATGAAGGGAGAATTGTTTTTCCTATATTATCACACATCTCGACGTCACATCATCTTCCATTTACCGCTTACATGTTGTACTCGATTGGAAGGTTCTTGCGGCGAACCATACCGTCACCCTGGAACCATTCGCGGCGGAATTGCTTGGCTGCTCCTTCCGGGGTGTTGGTCCATTCGACGGTGACACGGTCGTTGTTGGTCGCTTCCGCAGCCGGATCGAAGGCGTCGCAAGAGATGGCGATGTTGATGGCCTCCTTCGGGTCGAGCACACCGTTGGGCGGGTCCATGTTCAGACGGCGAGGGTTGGTCGTCTTGAAGGCGAAGCCGATACGATGCCCACCAGAGTTGATGATCTGTAAAAGTGAAGAAAAATTATTAGATGATTAGATTAGAATAAAGGACAAAAGATTTTACCTTCATGTAGTAGGTGTGCTTGTCGTCGAACGGCGCGTTGAAGATGACCTTCACGGCAGGAAGAGTCGTGATATCGCCGGGTGGAACAGACGCCATTGTTGAGAACGGTTTGTTGTTGTAGCAGGAATTGAAGTTGAAGAGAATTGGTTGATACCGACTGGCGTTCTATTAGCTCTTTTATACCTTTATGCTCGCGGAACAGGATCATTGAGTTAGAAAGGAAGTATAAAAACCCCAACTTTACGCCAGTTCCCCAACCTGCTTTCTGTTCAACTACACAAACAACGACAACAAACCTTTCTCAACAATGGCTTCTGTTCCACCCGGCGACATCACAACGCTTCCTGCTGTGAAGGTCATCTTCAACGCGCCGTTCGATGACAAGCACACCTACTACATGAAGGTAAAATCTTTTGTCCTTTATTCTAATCTAATCATCTAATAATTTTTCTTCACTTTTACAGATCATCAACTCTGGTGGGCATCGTATCGGCTTCGCCTTCAAGACGACCAACCCTCGCCGTCTGAACATGGACCCGCCCAACGGTGTGCTCGACCCGAAGGAGGCCATCAACATCGCCATCTCTTGCGACGCCTTCGATCCGGCTGCGGAAGCGACCAACAACGACCGTGTCACCGTCGAATGGACCAACACTCCGGAAGGAGCAGCCAAGCAATTCCGCCGCGAGTGGTTCCAGGGTGACGGTATGGTGCGCCGCAAGAACCTTCCAATCGAGTACAACATGTAAGCGGTAAATGGAAGATGATGACGCCGAGATGTGTGATAATATAGGAAAAACAATTCTCTCTTCATAATTGTATATCTATATGTAATTTCCCCCTGTTTTCTTGTGTGATTCTTATTGTCCTTATTTTCTAGTGTGATTGTTGTAAATATTGTTTGTTGTAAATAAATTGGGTTTAAATGTGTTGTTTATTTTTTAAATCTAGGTTAAACTTTTCTCGTGTTTGCTTTAGTAGTCGAGTTGATTGAGCCTCGTCTTTTCTAAGGATCAAAATTTGAATTCATATCTTAGACTTAAGAATTTTCAACCTATTTAGTTTATAATCGGGCCAAATTATTCTTCCTTTTTCATCCCAAAACGGCGACTTATTCTAACATATTATAATAAGCTCCATTATTTGTTTGTTCAAACACCGGTACTGGTAATACAAAAATTAGCGATTTTGTACTTCGCTAGTACCGTGGTAATACGGAACCATGACAAACCGAGTTCCAACAGTGAAGATGGCAAGAACGGGGGCGTTAATGCAACTATGTATGAGAGAACATGTTCCATCAATAGGGGAAGTTTGTCCGGGGACATGAGATTACTTACTCCAGGAACGGGAGACCTATTTTAATAATAGATTTCATTTACACAGAACTTAAAAAAGTCAAAAAATCCACCGATAGCTACTTAATCATCCAAATCCAAAGATTAGACATGTAAAAAATAAAATTTTGTGTTGATCACACTGGTGTTGTGTGCATTCAGAGTCGATAGGCATGCAGGAGTGACCCCGTTTTGACAATTGGGATATTTGGATAATAAAAATATTTAACATTCCCAACTTTTTTAATAAAATATGTGATGCTTTTTAATTTTAAAATTTTGTTCCTTACTCAAGTCGAACGCAAAATTTGGTCCGTATTCGTCGGTCCGCAACTGTCGGCTCTACAGTTTCGGTCTGCTAAAGTCGGTCTGCACTTTTTATGATGTTGGACAATTCAGTCCCACCGATTCAGTTACGCAGTGAAAATTTAAAATTTTATTCCCAAAATTCTACTTTTATCGAAGGAAAAAAATCTTTGCTTTTTACATTTAAAATTTTGATTTTTTAACTAATTTTTTACTTTTAATTTCAGAGAATCTTAAATTACAAATGGACAACAATCCAAAACCGGCTTCCAAACCTTGCTGTGATGCAATTGAACCGTTATATGAGGTAAACAATAAAATTTAAAATAAATTTCACTTATTCAAATTTTAGATGTTAGTTGATATATTCCACGATCCGGACTTTTTCAACAAATGTTTAAAAGAAGATCCTGACTTAAAAGAACGAATTTTTGAAATTCTTGGGCCTAATAAATGAATGAATGAAGAAAGAATTAAAATTTAAAAAAAAGAAAATCAACAACATTTAAATGCCTTGCTAAATTTTTATTCTCAATTGTTTTCTTTTTGACCTTATGAATAAAAAATGTTGGGGGTTAAACAAGGCAAATATTCTACGGGGATTTTATGATTATTATTATATTATCCAAATGTTATCTCTCATCCTTTCTCATCGTTTAAAAAATTAATTGTCCATTTATTTAGCAGCAATCCGGCGGGAAGGCTGAAATATTTGTAAAAATTTAAGAATTTTTAAGGTTAAAAATTCTTTATAATTAACAAAAACGCCTATTTTAATTGTTGGGGTTTTAAGAAGTTTTTGGCGGACAGAGTTAATCATTTTACTCTTTCTCTATACCTTTGCGGGAGGTTCAGGAGCAGCTTCAACGGGTGCTTCATTTGCATTAATAAACGCCTCAGCAGGAACTTGTAAAGGAATAACAGGCACAGGTGGACGTGCAGCATCCCCCTCAGCTTTAACTTGCTCCACATATTTTGGAGGTTCTAAATTCTTTCGGATTTGTTCCAATTCTTCAAATTCCTTTCGTCCCCATTCTGATGGGGGACGTCCACTTCCGTGGGCAATTGTTGGAATTAATTCTGGTGGTGGTTTCTCGAATAAGTCACGGCGTTCAACATAATCCCGGCGATCAGTTTGTCGGTCGAATTTGGAAGCTACTCGGATTTTTGGCTTAAAATAATCAAAGAGAGTTATTCAAAAACTTTCTTTTAATTCTTACAGGGAAGTTTGTGTTTTCAACTTCTGTCGGGTCAACACCAGTATTCAAAGCTTTTTGACGTGCAGCCTGTTTTTGACGTTCACTAAGCTCCTTCAAATCATATTCTTGACGTCCTTTCCGTTTTTCCAAGTCATACTTTTCTCCTTCCAATTTCACAATACGTGAATATAATTGCTTAATTTTAGCCTTAATATCGTTTGGCAACATATTGGAGACATCAACTGGACGGTTAACGATAGCCATATAATTACGCTTAAAAATAAAGAATAATTCTTTGTGTAAGTAAAGGTTTTCTCTCCAGATTTGTCTATTCGATGCACGCTCGCAAGTTACTTACCCTTCTCCTTAGCAAAGTTATAGCAAACTATTTAATTAATGATCTGATTTTCCGGATTTTGTTTAGACAGAGAGAGCGTGTATTGCAGAGACAAAAACCATAGCAGATAAATTCCAAAGCTTTACCCATCTACTCTATTTATTTACCTTAGCTTCTTCCTGTTGTTCTTTTGATAGTCCCCGTGGTTTGCTCGCCTGTCCAGGCAATCCAGGTGCTTGACCACCACCAGCACCCTTTTCAGGAATAACAAAATTCTTTCCTCCTTCTCCCTCAGCTTGAACAACACCTCCAAAAGAGCCAGCCATCATTAATTGTCTCTTTCTTTTTTCTTCTTCTCTTCGTGCTTTTTCAGCTTCAATTCTTGCTTTACGCTCCTCTTCTGCTTGACGACGACGTTCCTCATCTTGACGTCTTCGTTCAGCTAATTCACGTTCTTCTTGTTCTCTTTCAGCTTTTCGTTGTATTTGACGTTCTTTTAATTCTTGCAATTCTTGTTCAACGGCAACCATTTCTTGTCGACGACGCTCGTCATTGTCACGCATCTTAGCCTCTTCTTCCTCTTCGTGACGTTTTTTGGCTGCTAACATTGCAGCTTCGGCCTCAGTCATTTCTTTCTCTTCTGGCTCTTTTTGTTTAATTTCTGTCTTGCGAAGTCTAAAAAATATTAAATTGTACATTGTTTTTTAAATGGTAATTAAATAACTTACTGGGCTTGTGGTCCAGTTACATCAGTGCTCACACTGGAACGACGTACTTCCCTATAAAATTGAAATAATTAGGAATTAAGACAAAATTTTAGTTGTCTACACTAAATATTCTTCACCTTCTCACCTAATTTTTACATAAATTCCTTACTTAGAAGGAGAGAGAGGTGGTTCATCTTCCCCGCCTTCCTCAAATTCTTGTTGTTCAGCCTGCTCCGATTCTGGTTTTTCACTCTTTGGACTTTTCAAAGGAGACGCTGGGGGACTTTTCAAAGGAGATGCTGGGGGACTTTTCAGAGGAGATTTAGGTGTTGGTGGTGCCTCTTCTTGTTTAGACACTTCTTGAGCAGCAACACTAACTTCGTCTTGAGCTTCTTCGACTTCTTCGTCAACCTCTTCCTCGCTGCTAAAAATTGGATAGTTATTTATGAACTAATTGAAAAAAATTGAAATGAAATGAATGATTTTGTTTGTGAAAATATGAGAGAAAGATATGTTTAAAAAAATTTTTAATTAAAGAGATAGTTGTTAGGTGGTACAAGTTGAAACCTGAAAGGACTAAAAAATTAAAGTAGATTTAATTTATACCAATTTTTCTCCTTCCTTTTAGGTGTTTGTTCTCTTTTCCTCCAACTCGGTACCCATCCATTAGTTCTTTTAATACTTCTTTTAGGTCGATTTTTAGATTTTGAACTTGTCCTAACAATATGATGTAATCCATGTCTATGCCGAATTAATAGAGGGCAAAAACAATGAGAAAGTTTTGTCGGGGGTTTTGTCCATTTTAAATCCCTTTCATTCTCTTCCCCTTCAATTTCAACTAATCTCCTTCCTCTTCCTCTATTTACTTCTTCCTCTTCTTCACCAGATGTTAAAGAAGACATTTGCCTTAACAACAATCTTTTTGCTCTCAACAATTCTTGCATATCCCCCATACATTCAACTCCGTGTCTCCAACTTGTTTTCCCTCTCTCTTTTGGTGTTAAAAGTTCCAGAAATAAAGGCCAAGATTTGCCTGTTTTTGGCATTAAACGATGAATGCAACGACAACATTTTGTGCAGTAAACTGGTCTAAAAAGCCAATCAGGCGCTGGAGGGCGACGACTTCCAAAGAAATAATCAACTAATCGATTGTCTAAATCCTCTTTTTGTTCTTCGTTTAAATGTGAAGTAAATTTAGACCAAATAGCTTCAAAATTGGAAGAATTGGTGGTTGAATTTCGACGAGTGGATATTTGAGGGTTTTGAGTGGGGTTTGAGGAAGTACTTTGTTCATTTTGATCTTCAATTTCTTCCAAACTGCTCTTCTTCCTCTTCCTTTCCTTCTCCTCATTTTTGTTTTCTTCCTCTCCCTTTTCTCTCCTATCCTTCTTTAGTTCTTCTTTCTTCACTTCTTCATCATTCCTTTCATTTTCACTTTCTTCCTTTCCTTCTTCTCCTCTTCCTTTCTTCTTCGCGAGCAATTTTAACCTTTCCAGTAATTCTTCAGCCCTCAAAATATTTGGCAATTCAGCCTCTACTCTACGCGGTCTTCTCCCCTTTCCACTACTTCTTGAACTACCATTCCCTTCATTTTTCTTTTTTATTGAAGAAGGACGACGTTTAGTCGATTTTTTCCCTTTCTCATTTTCTTTAAGTAAAATTTTTGTATTTTTATTTATTTCATCTTTATTTGACATTCTTCTTAAATTATAACGTGCCGATTGTAACATTTCTCTAGCTTCTCTTTTACTTAAAGATTGAAATAATTGTTGGGAAATTAAAGAATTTTGTCTTGTATTATTTACAGAATTAATTTTTGAGGTATTTTTTCTTTGTACAGGAGGGTCTTTTACTTGTTCTTCCTCTTCTATATTTACATCTTCTTCTTCTACCAGTGGCGCAACTGGTGATAAACTTCTTACTTCCCATTCTTCTCTTTCCTCTAAATCGTCATCCTTTTTATAATTTTCATCTTCCTTCTTCCCTTCCTTTTCCCTTCTTTTTACTTCTTTACTTTTCTTTTCCTCCTGTCCATTTCCTTTTCCTCTTTTATCATCTTTTTCCTCTTCTCCTTCTTCATTTTCCTCTCTCCCTTCTTCTTCTTCCTCGTCCCTGTCATCTTCATACTCATCCTCTCCTTCCTCCTCTTTTTCATTTCCTCCTTCCTCTTCTTCTTCTTGCACCTCCTCCATTTCCTCCTCCATTTCATTATTCTCAGGTCTTTTGTCCCTTTCAGAATAATCTTCAGATAATCCCGAATCTGAGGAATCGAAAGACTCATTTCTTTGCCTGTCCTTTTTCTCCTTTCCTTCCTTTTCAACATCTGCTAACAATTTTTCATATTGTCTCAACAACAATTCCCTTTCCTTTTGGAAATCATTACGAGATTGAAGTCCTCTTCTTTGAAGAAGTTCATCAACAGTTTTGTGAGCTGTTAGAAGTCTCTAAAAAGAATTTATTTTTTTGTTATTTTGTTATTTCCTCAATAATCTTTCGAACAGAGCTTGGGCACAGTTTCGGCCCAGCTCTGTTCATTTGTGTCCAGCCTATTTAATTAATTAAATTAGAGGTGATAGTCTTTTAGGATACGATTTCACTCTATTGGGGGGGGGGGGGCTTATCTAATATTTTCAAATGATTCCTACACAAATACATATTTTGTTTTATTCTCACCTTTTTGAACGTGTCGTCATTTATATCATTTTCTCCCTTCCTTTTCTCTTTTTCATCAACCTTTTCTTTGTTTTCATTAACGTCTTTTTGATTAATTGATGAAGCAGATGCTTCATTCTCTTGTTCTTTTATTAATTGTTTCCGTTCACGCAAATATTTACTTGCCCAAGATTTATCAGAAACTTCATTTTCCTGTCTTTTTAAAAGAAAAGGTGAAATATAAAGTTGTTGATTCGTATTTTCTGTTGTTTTTTCTTTTGACAATAAATAATTTGAGGGAGAGGGCCTTCTTCTTGGAGAATAACTTGATGGACGTATAGAAGAAAGAGAAAGTCTTGAATGACTGTTTTTTGTTGAAAATGCTGATGCTGTTGAAACTGTTGGGCCGATAACAGAAGAAATTGATTTTGATGAATATGAGGAGGATGAGGGGAAATGGATAGAAGAAGATTTGGACTTTTGAGAACGATTTTTTGAAAACATTTTTTAAATTATATTTTTTGAAATTGCTGTAGAAAATAGTTAAAGAAATAAATAAAATATTTAAATGAAAGAAAAATAAATGAAGATGAATGGAAAATAAATAAGGAAAAAAAGGCTTAATTATTTACTCACTATTCTTCTTGATCAGACATTGTTTAAATTCTTTTTGCGCGGTTTTGGACGTTCAAAAAAGGATGAGAATTTTCGCTAAATTATAGGAATTCATAAAAATTTTTGGAAAAAATTTTATTTTTAAAAGAGAATTTTGCAATAATTTTCCCAACAAATTTTTGAAATTTTAATAATTTTGTTTAGTGTTTCGCGAGCAACAAAATGATGAAAATTAAAAGATAAAATTAAAACTAAAAAATAATTTTTAGGGTCAAAGATAACTACTACCAACTCAAAAAAGAAATCCCCGCCGGGTCTTAAGGTGTTACGTATTTCGCAATTTAAATGTTTTAGTTTAAAAATTAAATGGATTACAGCAATATATTACCTATTTACTTTAAATGTTTTTAGAATTTTTTTTTCTTTTTAAAAGTTTTCTTTTTTTACTCCTCCGCCTTTTTCTGCCAATTTTTGAACAGCTGTAGACAGCTGTTAAATTTTTTATATTATTTTTAACAATCACAACAATCCTTTCACGTTTGCCATTTAAAAGACGTATGTAAACGTGAATGGATTGTGAAAAAAGAAGAGTTTTTATGTTTAGATTTGGAATACAGAAAAGGGGCTATAAAAATAGATATTTAAAAGGGATAAAAGGAAAAGGGATACTTAAGAATATTCTATTTATTGAAATAGAAAATCTTTTATAAAATTTTAAAAATAAAAAGAAGTTAATGATCAATTTTTGTGTTATATATTTTTTAGATTAAATTTAATTTTAATGATCAATCATTAAATAAAAAGCAGAACAATACAACCCATTTTCTTAAGACTAAATTGGCTTTGGATTTTAAATTAGTTTTGGTTTTGGACCTGTTCCTTTTTCATTTAAATTTTTTTGTTCTGAAATTTTTAAGAATTTCTGTAAATATTTAGGCAAAGTAGACATTTTACGGCAAGACATTTTACGGATAATTTTAATTAAGCAAATACTATTTTGCTTTCCAGTTTCTACCTAATATTTCTTAGAATAATTTCTGAAATTCTAAAAAACTCTGGACTTTTTGCTTAGGGGGAATAATGTAAAATTTTTAAAATAATACAAATTTACATAACCTAAAAAGATAATAATATAATATTTGGCAATTTATTAAACTAAAAATTTGGCCATAATATTTTCAGAATTTCCCTTTTATTTAACTTTGTATTGCAAAATTCTCTTTTTTATAAAAAAAAATTTAAAACTAATTTTCTAAACCAACCTCTACAAAAGTTGAATTAAATTAATTGTATGTAGTAGACAAGTATTACTTCTAAAAAATAAATATTTTAATTATTTTAATTATTCTCTTTTTCACTAATTTTCCCTCCCCCAAACCACTCTAAAGCCATAACTTTTTATAAGCTCGAATCTCTTCAATCTATTTGCTAATTGTGGAGGCTGGTATTGGAAAACGTTTTAAAGGGTTCATTAGACACCCCCCCCCTCCTCCCCAAGCGTAATGTTCGACAATTAAAACTATGTTTTTTTGGCATAATTGGACATCTATTGTTAACTGCTTAGGTTAATATAAAAATGTCAAGATTTGTCGTTAAAAATTATGGCTTTCGGTGTTTATTGATCTAAAAGGTAAGTTGCCGGCATACTTTTGGCCTATTTTTTAGAAATTTGTAACACACCCCTCCTTAGATTGTAGTTTAAAGGAGCAATATTAAATAGGATAAAGTAAACTAGTCTTAAAATTAGAAATTTTGTATTTTCCCTTTTAAATTATCTTTAGGCCGCAAGTGTAGCACTTTTAGGGTTTTTAGTAAAAAATATTTTTATGCAAAATTAAAAATAAGAATATGTAGATAAAAAAAATAGTTTACCTACCTATTATGTTTTTGTGCCAAACACTAAAAAATATATTTTGAAGACAAGAATTAGTAGTATGTAAGTATATTTTGTTTGTTCCCACAAATGAATGACTTTGATAGTTTTTAAGAGAAGAAGGATAGGGAAGAGATTTAAAGGTTTTTTTAAAAACTTGTCTAAAATAAGTATTATAAAGGCGGGGATGATGTAAATGAAAAAAGAGGGAAGAAGAAGAAAGGGATGAAAGAGAGGAAGAAAGAAGAAGAAAAATGTTTGAAAAAAAAAGTTTTTCAAAAATATTTTAACGACAGATGGCTATTCCCCCCTCTCTATACTAATTTTCCTTTTAATTTTTTTCTCTAAACTTCCCACACAATCGACTTGGGGATTTAAAGGTTTTTTGATAGAAAAAAAATTTTTTTGAAGGCAAATGCTTCTTTTACTTATTTTTTAGTGATTTAGATCGCCTACGCAATTTTTGGGGGGAAAAGCCGGCAACATATATTTATTGGGCAAAAATGAAGGAAAGAAAAAAGGAGAGGAGAGAAGAAGGAATAAAGCCATTCAGATAAAGTTTTTTTAGAAAATATTCTTCGAATCATTAAAAAAAGAAAAGGAACAGAAATAAATGGAATAAAACATCCAAACAAAAATTGTGGTGATTAAAAGGGAAAGAGAAGGAGAGGGAGAGACCAACTGTCAAGAAAAGTAAAATATTTATATATTTCTATAGGGCATCAAACGAACGGAAACCAAATAAATTTTGAGGTAAAAAAAGTTTGATGATATTTGGAATAATGAATTGATAAATGAAAAGAAAGATTTTTTAAGTTGAGGGAATGAAAAAAGGAAAAATTTTCAATTTTATTAAAATTAATAGAAAGCTTAAAATAATTAGTTAATGCTTCGGGGTACTAATAGGAATTTTGTGAAAATATTTTACATAATAGGTCGATCTAGTGATCTCTTATATATCCATAAGTTCATTTTTAATAATTTCTTGATTTTTCTCAAATCATAGTTATTTTGCTAAAATTAAGGTTAAAGATCAAGTTTCTTTGGGAGAGGGAATTTTTTAAGGGAGGGAAAACTTCACGGAGAGAATCTAAACTGGTCGCAATTAAAACTTGCGCAGGAGAGAAAAGAAAGCAGTTGGTAGCTTGGTCAGTAAAGCCAACCGCAGTGGTTATTAATTAGCAAACTTTCCTGGGTTTTTTTTAACTTTCCAAACTTCCCTGGGTTTGTAGGTTCGATTCTTGCCCAAACGTTTCCTAACCCTATATACGACTATAATTATTGTATTCGAATTTAGATCAAGGCATTCTTCAGAATTCTTCTTCTCTCTATTTCTATTTATTTAACGCAATTCAAAAGTCAAATCATTTTTTTAACAAAAAAATTTTTATATTAATTTTGGACAAATTTAAAAATGAGGAAAAAAATATAATTTTTTAATTAATTCTAATTAAAATAAAAAATTTTAAAAAGGTTGAAAAGGTTTTCGGTTTTTTAATTTAATTTTTCTTCACACTAAATATGTATATTTTTTATTTATTTTCTTCTTTTTATTATCAATCAAGCACGCGCTTTTGGTGGAGGTGCCGGAGCCTTAAAAATAAAATTTTAATATAAAAATAAATTCAATTAAATATTAGCTTTGAAAAAAGTCAGAAAATTCTTTGAACGGGTGATAAAAATAGGCTCGATTTAATTTTTTCTGGTGACAATTTTTAATTGAAAAATACAAAAGGACCGAGCTTCCTGGCTTGTTTTTCTTTAATTAATTTATTCACCTCTTTTTCCTTTATTTTATCACGCCATCCACCACCACCTCCTCCACTACTCTCTTTATTTTTAATTTTACTTCCCCCAATATTCTCTTCATTTTCTTCTTCTTCTTTGCCTAAAGAAACTCTTTTCTTCTTTTTACTTTTTTCGTCTTCAGGATTCCAATTTCCAGGTATTTGTAAAGGAATAACAGGCACAGGTGGACGTGCAGCATCCCCCTCAGCCACAACTTGCTCCATATATTTTGGAGGTTCTAGATTCTTTCGGATCTGTTCCAGCTCTTCAAATTCCTTTCGTCCCCATTCTGATGGGGGACGTCCACTTCCGTGGGCAATTTCTGGTTCAGGTGGAGCTGCAGGGTTTTCAAACATTTCACGACGCTCTCCATATTCTCGTCGATCGGTTTTACGGTCGAATTTTGAAGCTACTCGAACTTTGGGCTAAATTTTAAATATTGGATTTTTATTAATTGCTAACATTTGAAGGGAGGGAAGATACGACTAGGCTAGAATTTAAAAACGCATAGATGGGAGGTTTAAAAAAAGTCAGTTATATCGCTGTCGTTAAACATTTTACACGTGACGAGCAAAGCTCCTAGCAATAACTGTCACGTTTTTTACTATTTCTGTTCTATGCCTAAAATTTTAAGTCCTAGTTAATCAGATTATATAAGGATAGTAAGCACTTTAATGGGCCAAAAAAAGAAAGAAGTGAGTTTCATTTATTTAAAAACTCACAGGAAAATTAGAATCTTCAACTTCTGTCGGGTCAACACCAGTATTCAAAGCTTTTTGACGTGCTGCCTGTTTTTGACGTTCACTAAGCTCCTTCAAATCATATTCTTGACGTCCTTTGCGTTTCTCCAAGTCATACTTTTCTCCTTCCAATTTCACAATACGTGCATGTAATTGTTTAATTTTATTTTTTATATCATTAGGTAACATTTTATCGACATCAACTGGACGGTTAACAATAGCCATATAATTACGCTTAAAATTAAATAAAATGACAATAAATACTTATAATTTGTCAGGTTCTGTCTCTCTACTAAATTGTGTATATACAATACACTCTTTCGTATTTTGTCTAACCACATCTCCGGAAAAATCGTGTGATGAAAATTTCTCTCTGTGGATATTATACATTTTCCGGTTTTCCGGAATATGGTTATAAAAAGAAACGAGATAGTACTACTATACAAATTTGTGGGTTAAAATACGAGGACTATTTCGATACCTTAGCTTCAGCAGCCTCAGCAGCTGATGGCCCTTTTCGTCTTGCTCCACCCTCAGATTTAGGCCCAAGTTTTTCTCCTTCTCCTCTCTTCTCAATAACAAAATTTCGAACACCTTTCTCTCCAGTACCTCCACCAATAAAAGAACCAGCCATCATCATTTGCCTTTTATGTCTTTCGGCTTCTTTACGTGCTTTTTCTTCTTCAACTCGTTTTTTTCTTTCTTCCTTAAAATTTTTATATTACAAAATTTTGTGATAATTATTTAGAAAATTCCGCTAGGAAACTGAGGGAACGGAGGGATTTTGAAGCGAGAGGGTTGCGTAGGCACGGAAGAAGTTGAGTTAACCTGAGAGGAAAAAGTCAAATTCTTATTTTTTAAGTGTTGTTTTACTGAAGGAAAGGAAGGGGAGGAAGGGGAAGTTTAAATGCGCAAGGGCAAGGAAATATAGTGACCGAAACAGTACCCGTACCCCATTATATTTTATTTGCCCCCCCCTCCACTCCCAATAGCTTAACTCTTCCCACAACTCTTCCTTTCCCTTTCAATTCTCTTTTACCTCTTCTTTTCGTCTTCGTTCTTCATCTTGTTTTCTAATTGCAGCCATTTCTGCTTCTTCTTTTTTTCGTTCTTCTAAACGTTGACGATGTTGTTCTTTTAATTGACTTAATTCTTGATCTAATTGTGCCATTTCTTGTTTTCGACGTTCTTCATATCCAACCATTTTAGCTTCTTCTTCTGCCTCATGACGTTTTCTTGCTTCCATCATTGCTATTTCAGCTTCGGTTAATTCTTTTTCTTCTGGCTCTTTTGGCTTTTGTTCTGTTTTACGCAGCCTATTTAAAAAATTCATATATTTATTTGGGTAATTGTTTAATTCAAAAACCGGAAAGGCATTTACTTTACCACAAAACTATCGGTTTTTCTTCATTAATTTTTAAGGTCGATCAATTATTTTAATAATTAATTTATAGGTTATTTCAGAATTTCTTAAACTTACTGTGGATGTAATTCCTGTATTTCTCTCTCTTCCTTTTCATCCTCTTTATCCTCCACTTCATGCGGTGGCGGCTCCTTATCCGAAGGTCTAAAAATAAGAATTTATACAGGAAGAGTAACAACTTTCGTTCATTTAGTAAAGAGAAGGGTTAAAGTTAGCCAGAAAAATTTCTTTTTTTAACCAGAATTTTTCTTAAAATATTTTCTACTAAATATCCCCGCCCCGAACCCCCTAAGGTGAGGGGATGTGCCCAAACAAATAATCAAAAAAAATAAATTTTTACGTTATCGGTTTCTCCTCTTCCTCTTTAATTTCTTCTTCAACTTTTTCTTCTTCTTTTTTCTCCTCTGGGGGAGCTTTAGGCTTTGACGGTGATGGAGGAGCAGATTCTACAACTTCCTCTTCTACCTCTTCTTCCTCATATTCTTCATCAGTATATTCTTCTTCTGACATTTTTTTAAATTAATTAAATTTATCTGTAGAAAAATAAATTTATTTATTTATTTTAATTATATTCAAAATAATTTTTAAAACTTGAACTGAATTTTGTAATTTTTTTTGGGTTATCTGGAATAATTTTAAAATCAGATAAATCTTAATTAGGATATGAAACAAATTTCTTGAATAAAGTAAACAATTAAAAAATGAGAGAAAAAATTGGAAAATAAGAAAAAGCCTTAAAATCTCCCTTATTTTTAATTTTCTAATCAGAACTACTAACGATTAAAATAAAAATTTAAATTTTAAAATAAACTTTATAAGAATTTATTTAAAAGTATTGAGGAATTTTACTTAAAGCAAATAAATATATAAAATGACAATGAAGAGCAGCTGTACTTGTTAAAGGATTTTTATTTTTAATTCTTCCCACCCATAAAGTTACAAACTCTTTTATCTCTCCCCAAAGATATAAATCTGTTGTTATTTTTAGAGTTGATCTAGATATTTTAATTTTCTATTTGGAAGAGAAAAAAGAGAGAAATGAAAATTGATTGAAAAATGTGGAGAAAATAAGGGAAGGTTTTATGGCAAATGAGAAAGAAAGTTTTTAAACAATTGGTTATTATTAAAGAAAGCTTTATTACAAAATTAAAAAGTCTTCCAGTAAATTCTCTCAATAAGAAAGAATGTATTAAATAAGAAAGCAACAATTGGTAAAGATTTTAATGAAGATTTTAATGATTTATTTGAGAAAATGAATAGTAGAAGAAGATAATTGAAATTTTAAATAATAAAACGAAATTAAAAATTGAGGATTTTAATTAAAATAATACTGTCAAACTAAAATTGAAGAAAACTACGACATTTCACAAATTATAACACCTGATATGAGATAACTCCTAATATTAGACCTCTTCATAGTCGTTAATAGCCGTCTGTGTAGTTTCTCGTAACTAGAGCGCAAATTTTTATTGAAATAAAAGCAGAAACTACCCTATTTTACAAAAAATTTTATAAAAGCAATAATTTTACCAAACCGCGCTTCGCGCGGGTTTTGCGGCACGCCCCTCGCGGGGAGTCAACGGTCGCTGGGTTCTATACCGGTAACATAAACCTATTCATTTTTACCGATTTTCAGCTTTGAAAAGCCTACTTATCCTTCGTAGTAACACAATTGCTTATAACTTTGTTCAGAATTATCAAATCAGTCTAATTTTCAGTCTGACAACACTTTTACATACATGTATCATCTTCTCTTTCTCTTAAAATTAAAAAAACATCCATTTATTGACGAAAAGTCCGTTGACGGAAAGTCCGTTGACGGAAAGTCCGTTGACGGAAGGTCCTTTGACGAAAATTCGTGCCACCTAAAACACGGCGGGTTAAACGGGAAATTTAACCATCTCGTAACACTCTCTCGTTTTTCCTCTCTTTCATTTATTTACTCTCGTTTCTATTTTAGGTTACCAATTTCGAAACCCAATATTTCGAAAACTTTTCCATTTTTCAAATATCTGTTGCAACCAATTCATTGTCTTTAGTTTTTATAAAAAGATTTCAGATGTTTTAATGCAAAATTCATAAAGTTAATGCACATCTAAATTCAATACAAAATAAGTATGAAATCCCGGTCATTATCTTCGAAAAAAGCACAGCTTTTGGTACCATTACCTTTTTTCGAAAATTCATAACCTCTCCAAAAATTCATATTTTCCGCTCAAATTTTGCAATTTTGTATAAAAATTGTAGTACTACAATTCAGCAAATTTTGAAGAAATTTTGACAAGGGATTCATTAGTTATAGGTAGTAGGTTAACCTGTATGTCAACCTAAGGAGTTAGTCGATATAACATGTGCAAGAAATATATACCTCAATAAATATTAATTATTCTACTATTTTTATTGTGTTTATCAACTACAATTTTTATTTATTTTAATTAATACTAGTTTTTATTTTTTAATAGATTTTAAGCTTTAAAAAATGCCTGGACAAATAAAGACGCCAACAAACCAAAAACTTTTGACTAATGTTGCTATAGTTCGTCTTAAAAAATGTGGGAAGCGTTTTGAGATTGCTTGTTATAAAAATAAAGTTTTAAATTGGAGGAACAAAACGTTTATTTTTTAATTCTTTATATTTTATTTATTTTTTAAATTTTAGAGAGAAAAATATTGATGAAGTTTTGCAGACCCAAAATGTTTTTGTAAATGTTGCAAGGGGTCAATTAGCTAAAAGAGATGACCTTGTTGAATGTTTTGAAACTGATAATCAACTGGAAATTTGTAAAACGGTTAGTTTTATTTAAGGAGTTGGATATTGTGGAAAATTCGTTGTAATTTATAGTTAGTATAACGGAGTTGTAGTCTCAATAACAAAACCCATACCATTTTTCCGGGTATGCCTGTGGACCAAGATATAGGTCCCCGAAAATCGAAAAACCATTTATTCGAAATAGTATAGTCCCCTGAAAATCGAAAAATATTTGTATTTTAAATATTTTTTCATTAGAAGGAAAGGAGAATTGAACTCGTATTTATTTTAATAGTTTACTTAATATAAAATTCCTTAAAAACTTCCTTTCCATTTTCAGTAAATTTTATCAATTTTCTTTTTAGATTTTGGAAAAGGGTGACCTTCAAGTTTCGGATAAAGAACGCCAACTTACTTCTGAAAGTTCTTTTAAGGTTTTTTTGAATTCATTTCATCAATTCCAAATTTTTATTTTTTAGGAAGTCGCAAATTTAATTGCCAATATGTGTGTTAATCCTGAAACTCAGCGACCTTATTCTTTGGCGGTAAATTGTTTTTAAATTATTTTAAATTAAATTTCTTTTTTAGACTATTGAAAATGCTCTTCGAGACGCTCATTTTTCTTTAAAATCAAATCATTCGGCAAAACAACAGGTTTCTAGGGATGGTTTTTGTTAATGATTAGAGTTGTCAGTCTCCCCACATTCTTCGGTTAATCCAAAACCGAACCTAAATTTTGGGTTAAATTTAACCGAAAATCTTTGGGTTTTCGGTTCGGTTAAGACAACTCTAATAATGATACCCAACAGAAAGCAATAGGAGCAAAACTTCCCTAATTTTATTTTCTTTTAATTTTTAAAGGCCCTTGAAATGATTCCAAAAATTCGTGAAAATCTAAAAATTGATCGTGCCAAAATGCGTGTTCGTGTTTCTGTCCCAGCCAAACATGCAAAATCGATTCATGGAAAGTTGAAAGGATTTTTTGAGACTGTCGAAGTTGAAGATTGGGAGAAGGGAAATTTAGAAATGGTTAGGAATTTTTTAAAAAATATTTTTTTCGAGTTATTTTTAGGTTGGTTTAATTGAACCTGGAAATTATAAAACAATTGCTGAATTACTCAAAGGGGACAAGAAAGAGAAAATTGAACAAATTGGGTTGGAATTGTTAAGTTTAAAAGTAATTAGTGAAGGGGAAGTTGAAATTACTTGAAGAAAATTAAAAAGTAAATTAAAATAAATAAAAATACATATTCCTTTTTTACAAATTAATTGTGAAAACAAAATAAATTTTTAAAATTTGATTCATTTTTATAAATAAATTTTGTTTTGGACTCTTTTTGTCTGGACAGAGTTCTAACACAAACAATACTTATATAAATTATATTTGTTGATTGTCTTTTATGCACTCCAACAAACCTGGACTGAAATAATTAAAATATTTCTCTCACTCAGGCAAATATTAAAATATTTTTTCCAGTTTAGATAGGGCAAATAACCTCCTCATAACTTATATTTTCCCCTATTTTATATTGACCTACATTTACTGAAGTATTGGGATGTAATGGTTGAATTTTGTAGAGTTTAATTTCTTCTTTAGATTTTTTACCCTCTCTTTCATTTTTAAAATTAGCTTTTTGATTGTCTCAAAAACTTTTGTTTCTCCCATTCAGGGCAAAATGTCCACGTTCATCCCCCACACAGCTGTGGTGTTTTAAAAGTGGAAGAAAATTGGCGACGGCTGAACAAGTTTTCTATTTTTCCTCTGCTAATTTTCTTCTCTTTCATTTGTCAGACCTCTGTCATTTTTTTCTCATTTTTTTCTCCTTTCTGCAGCTGCTTAACACAATATTTACTTAAATAATTCACATTTACTAACTCACCGACAGTAATTTAGAGTAGTAAATGTTTTTATAAGTATTTCTCTAATTTTCGATAAAATTATTGATATCTATTCAAAATACAAACTGTGATTTAACTTCTAAAAAATTTTAATTAGGAGAAGGGGTATTCTACATATACATAACAGATAAGTCCCCCTCTATCCAGCTTGAAAGTAAATTTTTTACTCAAATAAACTTTCGTTGAGTTGTCTGTCGGTGAATTTTCCCTCACTCAAGGAGAGATTTAAAATAGTATTTTACAAGTAGAAAAAGGCCAGCATCAAAGCCCTCTTTCTATTCGCCTCCCTCCCCTCCCTTCTTCTATTTTACTTACTACCCTCATTTAAAACTAACCAATTTTCTTTCTGCTTATAAAAACATTAAAATGGTACTAGAGTAGACGTAGAAATGCGCAATATACACATTTTTACCTGTAGTAAAAGAATAATTATATTTTTGTTTGTTTACTCACACGTAAACCCCCATAATCCATAAATCTCAACAAGGGAATGATTAATAAAAATAAATTTTGGGTGATAATCTGAAAGTATTTTGAAGACCACGTTTGAACTAGATCCTTTTCATTCATTACTTTTGATTGTTTTTAAACTTTTATTTTTCCAACCCTTCCTATTCAACTAATTAACTTTACTGTTAAACACTCTTTAATGGAGGATTGTTAAGGGTTTTTTAAATTTTTCAAACAAAAATTCCTTTCCAAATTTCATTAATGATTTTCTTTTGTACTTTTTCTCTTCAAAAACCTTTGTTGACTCACCCAAAAACTTATTCCCCTTTTTTCATTAAATTTCATTTCTCTTTTATTTAAAAATATTTCCACGTTTTAAATTAAATTTTAGGTAATTAATTAATTTAACTCTAACAATTAATAATATTTTATCAAATTAATTAATTCAAAAGAGGATGGCTAATCCATCCGAATGTTGTATTCAGGTTAATTAAATATTTAATTTTTATTAATTTTTTCAAATAAAGGTTGTCTGTCGTGTCCGTCCGTTAAATGAAATTGAAAGGAAAAACGGGTCATCTTCAGTTGTCAAGTTTCAAGGCAAAGATACTGTTATGGTTACGGTAAATTTTTAGAAAAATTTTTTTTTCTAAAAATTTAATTTAAAGGGGAAAACTTATGCATTTGATAATGTTTTTCAACCAAATGACACTCAAGAAAATGTTTATAAAGGAGCAGCTCATCATATTGTTCAAGATGTTTGTTTGATTTTAACTAAAATTTAATAAAAGAGGACTCGTGATTTTGATTTTTATGAGCAAAATTAGGGGCATTGAGGGGCTTGAGAGATTTTAGAGGGCGGGAGATATAGAGCGGACGTAGAATTGGGCAATGCCGTAACCGGAACTTGATTTTCGGATTTTGTCAATTATCGATTTTTTGTTACTTTTTGAAATTACTTGTCTTTGAGTTTTCTGACAAGATATTTTTAAAACGATTTTATCAAGTGCTACTTTTAATGATTTCCGAAAAAATGTCTTTAACTTCTACTAATCAAGCAAAAAATTTTAGGTATTAAATGGTTATAATGGAACAATTTTTGCTTATGGCCAAACATCATCAGGCAAAACACACACAATGGAGGTTTTTATATTTTACTAGTTTATTTAATTAATTTTAGGGTGTAATTGGTGAATCTGACAAGCAAGGAATTATTCCAAGAATTATTAATGATATTTTCAATCATATATTTAATTTGGTTTGTTAAGTTTCTTTACTCTTTTTTTATAAAAAAAGAATTTTAGGATGATGAAAATTTGGAATTTCATATAAAAGTGTCTTATTTTGAAATTTATAATGAAAGAATTCGAGATTTATTGGATGTTACAAAAACAAATTTAACAATTCATGAAGACAAAAATCGTGTTCCTTTTGTTAAAAACGTTACAGAATTATTTGTTTCAAGTCCAGACGAAGTTTTGGCAGCTATAGAAGATGGAAAGACTAATAGACAAGTTGCCGTTACAAGTTTGGATTTTTTAAATTTATGGTTCCCGGGTTAGCCCCCCTCCCGAATCGCCCCCCTGACTACGCCCTTGGTTAAGGGTGTGAAATATCCTCCTTGTCTCCCACTCGTTAATTGTTAAAAAATCATTTTTATTTAACAGATATGAATGAACACAGTTCTCGTTCACACAGCGTTTTCCAAATTCAAGTAGACCAAGAAAACAAAGCTACACAGAAAAAATTGTCTGGAAAGCTTTATTTGGTAGATCTGGCTGGAAGTGAAAAGGTTTTGTAAAAAAGTGTTGTTCATTTACATTTTAACTAATAGGTTAGCAAAACGGGTGCGGAAGGCTCTGTTTTGGAAGAAGCTAAAAACATCAACAAATCTCTCTCAGCATTGGGAAATGTTATCTCTGCTTTGGCAGAAGGAACGGTTTGGAAAATTATTTGAAAAAATATTTTTGTTTTTTCAGAAAAGTCACGTTCCCTACAGAGATAGCAAATTAACAAGAATTCTTCAAGAATCCCTTGGTGGAAATTCCCGCACAACTATTGTGGTATAATTAGAAGTTTAATTTTTTGTTTAAATTATTTTTTGTAAAGATTTGTTGTTCTCCTGCTTCTTATAATGAAGCTGAAACAAAATCAACTCTACTTTTCGGGCAAAGGTATTTTAACTCGAAGAACTTGAAAGTAATCCTTAAAATCTTTTTTTTTAAGAGCCAAAACAATAAAAAATGTTGTTGTTGTCAATGAGGAATTGACTGCTGAGGAATGGAAGAGACGCTTTGAACGTGAAAGGGAAAAAGTTAATAAACTTCGTCAGCACATGTTAATTATGGATCAAGAAATTAAACGTTGGAGAGCGGGTGAAAAGTTAGCAGAATCTGAATGGACAACTTCAATTGCTGATTTATCTGCTAATTTGACATCGAATTCTGATAGTAAGTTTTTATTTTTGATGTTAAAAATTTTGAAAAACCTGAATGGTTTCCAATTTTCGTTTTTAACATTTACCAAATCTTGGCTAAAAGATTTGGTAAAAGCTTTACATTAGAAAAGCTTTACACGCCTGTCTCCCTGTTATTTAAAATCAATTTTTAAATAATTTTAAGTGACACCAACTTCAATGACGGAATCAATGATATTTCCACCATCTGATCGTCCCAATCCTCAGCCTTTATTAAGTTCGCGTGTTGGGCCGATAAGTGATGATGAAAGACGAAAATATGAAGAAGAAAGGACTAAATTGTATGCACAACTAGATGAAAAGGATGATGAAATTCAGTCTCAATCACAGCAAGTTGAAAGACAAAAACAGCAGTTAATGGAACAAGTTTGTGATTTTTAAATAAATTTATTCAAAAATAAATTTAGGAAGAAGTTATTAAACAACGCTCTTTGACTAATGAAAATTTAATGACTGAAGTATCAAAAGCACAAGGTATTTAACAAATTATTTGGTAATTTTAACTCAGAAATGTTAGAATATTGAATTAAAACTTTCAAGAAATGTTAAAGGGTGTGTGGTTGTCTAAGTGTTGTTTTAATGGAAAAGACTTTAATACTTATGTAATTAGAATAGTAATGTTCAAAATCATATTCTTTTAAAAAAGAAAGTTATTAAAATCTTGGCTATACTACAGTTTATGGGCCAATCAAAAAATAATTGGTTTTTTCTTGGTATTTCAAAGTGGGGTATGCCCTTTTCCTTATTTTTTACTTTAACATTTTATAAATGGAACTGGGAAAGTAAATTAAAAGAGTATTTAACATATTTTTTAAATTTATATTAATTTTATTTTAATTTAGAACAAATTGCTAAATCTCAAGAAGAAACAGAAGAATTATTTTCTGCAATCCAAGAAATTGCTTTAAATCTTGAACAAAAGAAAACTGAATGTTCTCAATTGGCAACAGATCATGGTATGATTTTTAAATATTTATAAAAATATTTTTGTATTTTAGAACAACTTAGCGAGGAAATTAATAAGAAAAAATTGGAGGCAACTCTTTTAAATACTAAATTGGAGGAAATGAAGGAAATTTGTCTTACTCAAAAGGTTGGGGGTTTTCCTTTAATTTTTAAATCGAAATTATTTTTTATTGCAGAAAAGAGTTTATGAAAGTGTTCAAAATATGCTTAAAGAAATGTCAGAACTTGGAGAAGCTAATTTTACTCTTGCAGAAAAGGTTATTTTTGAAGCTTAATTACTTAAATATTTTGAGAATTTTTAGTTTGTTAATGATTTGGATCAAAGTGATAAACCAATAGATGAGGAATTGTTGGCACACGCTCGTATTTGTATTTCTAAATTGAGCAATGATTTTAAAGCTAATCAACAGGTTTGGAAA